TATTACAATGTAAACAAACGAAATTAAAGGAAGTTCAAAATAAATATTACACATATATATAAATAAAGTATAAGGTAAAAATACATTATTCTAACATTTTTCTATAACACCCATTTCCATGGGCTTTGCTTCAGGCCAATCAATATTCCATTTGATTAACTTCCGGTCATTAGAAGGTGAGCTTTGTCTGCAGTTGCTGTTTAAAAATTAGCCCACAGATAGGCAATGGCCACGCCCCAAAGGGCGGACAACTGACCCAAACAAAACCGGGTCTACAGATCTTGGGATGATTGTTTTTACAAGCCAAACATATGCACAGGGGATACATTTACACGCACGCCATTACAGTGATAAACTGTGGGGCATTAAATCAAAGTTAGCGAAAAAGGACCGACCGACCGACCGGGCACCTTATTAGCCCGATTCGTATCCTTGTGTGTTGCGGTCCCTCTGACCGGCAGCGATTTATTAATGCTCTGCGCTAAGCTGGGAGCAATTAATTCAAAGATTAATTTGACCGGCGGGTGCCCTTCCCGAAGCGGATTTCAATCTCTTGCCCCGATGACCCGATGCCACCTTATCTAAGCCAATTTCTTTTGCTTTCTTTTATTTCAGATACCGCTGCCGGACTCTTTGCCTGGAATCCCACCCCGTTGTTGTTTCTGCTCCTGTGGCCAAGTGTTTGGGCTTTAGGGAACCTGTTGGAGGTCCTGGATTTCGACAGGGTGGAGCGGTGATAAGCCAAACCGCTGGCAGGAGAGATGGACTTCAGGCGGGACTTTGGAGAGAAGGAGAGGATAACCCCTGCGCGGGCTCGACAATTATGGAACCCATATTTAGCGAATCGAATAGCAAATCAACAGTGAAGGAGGTCCTCAGCATACCGAATATACCTACTCACATATACCTATACCTATACCTATGTTAAGGACGTAACTGTAAAGGCAAACGCATTTCTATCCCCAAGTCAAGTGTAAATAGGCATCGCATACTCACCACACAAAAACTATATATATCTACTCTCTAAGCGAGATTCTAAATGTTTGCTTTCGTTGGATTTTATCGAGGATTTATTGTTAAGATTGTGGTTTCTAGGCAGATTCACTGTTCTGTTCGTCTGTGTCTGTTTGAAAAACTGTACAACTAAAATGTTTAGCTATAGCGATAATTTTAGTACGAACCTAAGTTAAAAGTGTGCGTATGAAATATTGATGGAAGCCAAATAAAGATGGTTTTATTTGATCACTTATGCGATGTGTGTATTACAAGGCAATGGGTAACATAGGTAAGATATTACAAGTTAAGGTATATCTTTTTTTGACTCTCAAAATCTTACCCTAACACTCATTACAATAACTTATTGCGGATGCTTAACTCAAGATTTTCATTGTTTTGCCGTATGGCTATAATACATTAGCAGCATTTATTTTTTTGGTTGACCCCTTCTGGTAAAATATGGCAGAATAAAACGAAGCGAAATGAAGGGCCAAGTTCGCCAGCCACAACGCAAATGAAAAACTTGCAATTTACGTGACAAAAACAATGCACTGCCAGCGACAGAGAAGGACATTTTGGAGCTACAATTGGCGTGGAGTGACATGAAAAACAGCGGCTGCGCTAGTGTGTATCTGTGTGTGCTTGGATTTGACAACACCCACTGTGCACAGTGGGTTCAGGGCTGGTCGTCCCACCGCTGCTTGCAATTTCGCACCCGAATGCATCTTGTGCATCCCGACCGCTTGCGAAGGATCTGCATTCGGAGGCGGCAGTGGGCGGGGCACTGTTGCAACAATTTATTGTCCATGTGAGTGCGCTTCTGGCAGCCACTGTGCGGGTCTCACATGCACGCCAAGTGTGTTCCGGAAATAAGTTTATGGATTCTTGGATGTTTTGAAATCATCCTAAAATTCCTATTTTGAAGTTAATTATATATTTTGATTTTTTAAAATCAGTCAAAAATGATATATTTCAAATGTTAATATTATTATTTGACCAATTACAATTTTAAAAATCAACCAACATCCACCTTTTTAGTATAAAAAGAGATTAATCAATTAATAAACAATGAATATAGATTATATAATCATGGTACTAATTTAAGTTAAATTTAAAGTTTATTTTAGCTTATGAGATTTATTTTCTTTAACATTTTTTCCTTTTTATTAATTTTAAGGAAATTTATTTACGGAAATGTTGGCACATGAAATTGAATTGTAAATTAAAGTTGAGATAAATCCGTACTTTTTAGTTACCATGGAGAGGAACTGTATCTTGGAACACCCAACTCCTTTCAGCTGGTTTCCCTGCATCGCCGGCATTTGTATCTGCAGGATTGCTGTGCCAGCCAGGCCAATTGCTTGAAAATGACTTTTGGCAGCGGGCAAAAAGCGAGCTGAGAGCTGCACGAGCTGCATGAGCTGCACGGGCTGCTTAATGGACAATCGAAAAGGCATTGAACTGGCAATTTTGGTTTTGCTCCCGTGGCAAATTGATTTCCGTTTGCGGTCGCAACCCAGCGTCATCTGGCCTCCGATGACAGACGCCGCCGCCAGGTGGCGTGCTCATTAAAACTGCACTGCGACCCGGTCAAAATTGGCAGTGGGTTTTGCGTGGTGCTGGGTGGTGATGGGTGTTGCTATCCAGCGAAATGGGTGGTTTTGTGGACTCCAAACCACTTGCCGTTGTCAAAAGCAGCCAGAAAGAGCCGTGGACGAAGGAGCTGTTCGCTTCATAAGCTTTTTGTGCCGTCCTGCTTTTGACTTGCGTGGAACAAACAAACATTTGTTAATTACTTTTCCGGATGCAGCCACAGAAAACAGAAAACAGAAATCGGATTCATTTACCACTCCTTTTTTCCGGGCTTCTGGACAGCCGGTTCTCTTTTTCTTTCTTTTTTGGCACCCACAGAGCTGTCCATTGTTCTAGACGCGTTGAAATCGAAATTAAGCAATTTTAACTTTGACAATTACGACATAAAAACATCGGCGTTGGACATGAAAAGCAGACAAGCTGCATTCGAAAATAAATGTAAATTGTGAGTGGTGGCTGCAAGCGATTTGGAACAACTTGTCATCTGTAATCAAAGAGGAATTTTACTGGTTCAACAGATGACTGTCAAATCTGTAAATCTCCTTTTACAAGAGCACCCGAAAAGTATGCTTCATTATTTTGCGATTTAATTTTGAGATCCTCAAAGTATGTTTTAACAACTCAGCATCTTTATAACTTATAAAACCAACAAAACTGTCTGAAAGTTCAAGAATAATTAACTACAATAATATATAAATATATATTAAGAATATTTTTTGTTACGTAATGGAATTTTAAGTAAATAAATACAAAAACATTATTATTACATATGTAGTTAGTTAAAAAAACAAAATTTTGAATGCGAAATGACACATTAGTAAAATATGTGCGAAAAATTAATTTCAGGACCGGAAGAAAAGGTGCATTTATTTTCAACAAGAATATTTAGAGGAATAAATAAACTCTTTCTTGGTTGTTTTATTAACTTGTTAAAGGTAAATGTTTATATTCGTACTTGGGATATGATGCTCCTGCTGTGTAATGGTAAACAAATGAGAGGCACGTAGTCGTGATCAATTGAATAAATTTAATAAGTAACAACAAAGACACGACTATGAGATACCTTCCATTTGGTGCCTTTAACAAGTTCTATTATATACAAATATAAATATACAAGTTATTTTTTTAATGGGGTTTTTCTTATTAATCATTAATATAAAAGGGGTTTTGAGAAGTTTCATATTTGCATCAACTGTGAAATGTTCCGATTATTCAATCATTAGTTTTTATACCGATAATGGTTTTTATACCCTTGCAGAGGGTATTATAATTTCAGTCAGAAGTTTGCAACGCAGTGAAGGAGACATCGCCGACCCTATAAAGTATATATATTCTTGATCAGCATCACTAGGCGAGTCGATCTAGCCATGTCCGTCTGTCCGTCTGTCCGTCTGTCCGTCTGTCCGTCCGTTTATATGCAAACTAGTCTCTCAGTTTTAAAGCTATCTGCATGAAACTTTCCCAAAAGTTGTCTTTCTATTGCAGGTAGTATATAAGTCGGAACGAGCCGGATCGGACGACTATAGCATATAGCTCCCATAGGAACAATCGGAAAAATAAATGAAATGAAATTATAACTTTGCTGTTTTTTAATTTTTTGTTTAGTTCTTCGACATATAGCAATGGTTAAATATTTCAGAATTATGGTTTAAATTTCATCAAAATCGGACGACTATAGCATATAGCTCCCATAGGAACAATCGGAAAAATAATTGAAAAAAAATTATAACTTTGCTGTTTTTTAAATTTTTGTTTTGTTCTTCGACATAAAGCAATGGTTAAATATTTCAGAATTATGGTAAAAATTTCATCAAAATCGGACGACTATAGCATATAGCTCCCATAGGAACAATCGGAAAAATAAATGAAAAAAAATTATAACTTTTCTGTTTTTTAATTTTTTGTTTAGTTCTTCGACATTTAGTAATGGTTAAATATTTTCGATTTACGGTTTAAATTTCATCAAAGTCGGACGACTATATCATATAGCTCCCATAGGAACAATAAAAATATATAAAATAACTATCAAATAATTGAGCTGCAAATCATCATAGCTTCAATGTTTTTAAACTTATACGCAAGTAAATTATAATTTTAATGTTTTCAAAAATGTTTAATTCTTGCAATAGCTGCAAGGGTATATGAACTTCGGCTTGCCGAAGTTTGCTTTCTTTCTTGTTCCAGTTTAATTTTATTAAAATTATCATTATCACTTTTTTAAAAACGAATAAATTGTTTTTTTAGAGGGTGTTTGGCCGAGTGTGAGCATAAAGAAACAGATTAAAGATTTTTCTAAAAAAAAAAAACAGACAGATATAGAGCACCTCTTAAATTCATGGTCACGTTTCATCCAGGTTGGAAAATTGTGTGCTCTCCAGTCCGATAAATAGCCGCAAATCGAATGGCGAAGACTCCAGTGATTTTCGAACCTACCTGTGAGAATGTGGTGCGGTTTTTGGGCGATCTTGAGTTTGCTGCTGGGAATTTCGCAGGCCCGCAAGGGATTTGGACCTGGCGAGCAGGACTGGGGCTACGTGGATGTCCGGGAGGGGGCCCACATGTTCTACTGGCTCTACTACACCACGGCCAATGTGAACAGCCACACGGAGCGCCCGCTGGTCCTGTGGCTCCAAGGTGGACCCGGTGGCTCCTCCTCGGCCCTGGGCAACTTCCGGGAACTGGGACCCGTGGACTTGAACGGTGCACCGCGGCAGGGTAACTGGGTGCAGCATGTCAATGTGCTCTTCATCGACAGTCCCGTGGGATCGGGCTTCAGCTATGCGGACAACACCACTCTGCTGGTGGCCAACAACGATGAGCTCGTCGACGACCTCATGACCTTCATGTTGCACTTCTACAAGTTGCATCCGGAGTTCAAGAGCGTCCCGCTGCACATTTTCTCGGAGAGTTATGGTGGCAAAATGGCCCCTGCATTGGCCATCAAACTGGACAAGGCCATGAAGGCTGGTGAACTGGCGGAGCCCCAAATCCTAAAGTCCGTGACCATCGGTAATCCCTGGATATCAACGCGCCACATCTGCAAGGAGCACTCCAAATACTTATTTGTCAACGGACTGATCGACGAGGATGGTGTGGCGGTGATGGATGCCCAGGAGGAGCGAATCCTCAGCGCCCTCAAAAAGCACGAATTCGAAAAGGCCACCGATGAGTACTTGACGTGGTACGAACTCATGGAGAAGCTCACGGGTGAAGTCTACCTGTATAACACACAGACCCACTTCGATCCAGCAGACGATCACACTTACGGCTATGGAGATGAACTAAATCGCCTGATGGAGGAGGATGTGAGTAAGGCCCTGCAAATAAATGGCAGTGTCTATGCCTCCCAAGTCATCGATGTGCTCACCATGCTGCACGGAGATCGCCTTAAGTCGGATATTAATGCAAGTACGTACAAGTTTTCTCAGTTCATTAACTCAAATCCGAAAATCAAATAAAATTCTTTCAGTTCCGCTCCTGCTGAACGAGACCTCCGTTAAGATAAACATTTATTCCGGTCAGTTGGACATTCTGGTGCCCACATCAGCCACTCTGGCCGTGATCAAGGACTGGGCCTGGAAGGACAAGTCGGAATATTTGCAGGCCAATCGTACGGCCATTGTCATCGATGGCAAACTGCAGGGCTATGAAAAAGTCGGTGGCAACTTTGGAATGTACTGGATCATTAGGTCGGGACATTTGGCACCCGCCGACAACCCAACCGCCATGAACTATGTCCTACACTCCGTCACCGAATACGACAACTAGTCACTCGAATAGCTTTGCTAGCTAATAATTAATTGTTATACTAAACATTTTTATTTAATGTACCCCAAATATACGATCGATTTTGAATCTAATTTTACGCCTGGAAAGGCATCGTCTGCCAGATGCCAGTTTTCAGTATTTTCTGCTGACGTCTCAGCCGAGTGCAAAGCTAATATTGTGCTGGAAATGGGTGGGTCTTTCGGCTGGGGGTCAATGTTTACTTTATGTCAGTGAACAAACAAATTCGATTTCGTTTAGAGGTCTACTCTGTGGCATTGCGATCGCAGACACAAAGGCTCTTCTTCTCTCATATTTCTTTAGTATACTTTTATATGGTATTAAAGGAGTGCATTTTTTTTTTAACATTTAGATATGTTTATTCCCAAAACAAATTTTATAGCAATATATATTCTAGAAATTTGTGCTTTGTTTGATTTAAAGTTATTTTTAAATTTCTCAAAGAATGTATATGTATATTTTAATTGTGGAAGTGTTGTGCACTAAAACCCTAGAAACCCTCCTAATAAGCTTACACTGATAAATGAAAGGGTAATTTCCCTTTCGATCATCACATACTCACCCGGTTGTTAGTGTTTATCGGAAAACTGAATGTTTTTCCAAGTATAATTAGCGAGCGGCCGAAAGCTGCGTCAGATCAGTGCGCATATTCCGCCAGAGCAGACAGTTTAGTTCCACTTTCCTTTCCGTTGAATCGTGATCACGATATGCAGCTCATTTTGAATAAAATTCATCTTTGGGTGTGGGCCTTGTGCCTTTTCGTATCGATGACCTGGGTTCAAGGTGTGTACCTTTAAAAAATAAAAAAGAAGTGTTATTATTTTGAGTGAAATTAAACTTTACAAGTACAAAATTCTATGCAAACCAAATTGTTAACACTTGTATAAAAATTATGCACAAGCTAAAGAACTTCGTCTATAATATCTTAATATACAATTTGCAGGAATTCCGATTTAAATACTGATAAATACAAAAATGGAGAAGTAGAAATAAATATCTGGCTATTGAAATCAAAATTCTCTATTTCGTATCTAAGATATATATTAAACCTTATTGTAAAGTACATTGCATTTAATATTGCATGACTTATGAACAAAACAGAAAAATTAGATATCAACTAGTCCCAATTTGATCTGAGAGCATTAATATAAAGTATTGGATGTTAAAATGTATTTCTTAAACAATCACTAGAAATATTAAAACAAATATCTAATATTTCCAGATTTAAATAAATAGTTAATTTAAAATAAAAATCCGCAACAGATGAAAATCAATGCATTACATATATAAATTGACTATGATATGCTTGGACTCACAATGTTTTTTTATTAGTACAAATGCCCTTGAAAATGATGTGCCATTCCTGAGATCTAGTTTTATTATTCCAGGACGTGTTGGCCTGGGACCCGGAGTGCAGGAGTGGGACTACGTGGAGGTTCGCCAGGGCGCCCACCTCTTCTACTGGCTGCTGTACACCACGGCCAATGTCAGTCACTTCACGGACAGACCGCTGGTAATCTGGCTGCAGGGCGGACCCGGCGTGGCCTCCACGGGCAGTGGTGTCTTCGAGCAGCTGGGACCCATCGACATCGAGGGCAGGCCGCGGGAGAGCAGTTGGGTGCGGCACGTGAACGTGCTCTTCGTGGACAGCCCCGTGGGCACGGGATTCGCTTATGTGGAGGAGCACGGAAGGTATGCCAGAACCAATCGGCAGATAGCTCTCGATCTCGTCCGCCTGATGGAACAGTTCCTTGGGCAGTATCCAGCGTTCCGAAGCGTCCCAATGCACATCTTCTCGGAGAGCTACGGCGGCAAGATGGCCCCCGAGTTCGCCCTGGAGCTGCATTTGGCCAGGAAAAGGGGTCGAGTTGACTGCCGCCTGCAGTCCGTGGTGGTGGGCAATCCCTGGACCTCGCCGCTGGACAGCATCCTCTCGTACGCCCCCTTCCTGCTCCAAATGGGCATTGTGGACGAGGATGGGTACCGCCGAATATCGCGGCTGGCCGGTGAGCTGGCTGCCCTCGTCTACGGCGAGAAGTGGACGAGTGCCTTGGAGAAGGCGAACGAAGTGCAGGCGGAGATCACCGGCAGCACGGGCGGAGTGTTCCTCTACAACACCCAGCGGCGCGTGCACGAGGACGAGGACTACCGGTACGGCGAAGACCCGCAGATGAGCCACTTCATCCGCACCAATGTCACTCAGGCGCTGGGACTCGGCAAAATGCCCGTCTGGATGGAGCAAAATTCCACGGTCTTCGTGCGCCTCGCTCCGGATATTTTCAAGCCAGCCACCCATATAGGTAACTAGAATCTTTCATTCTAATTAAGTTTCTTGTAAGCAAATTATCAAAAATACAAAAAATACGCTTATACAAAAATTTGAGATTTAAAACCATGAAATTTTAAAATGTAGTTCAACTTAACAAGCCTCTTCCAAACATATCCATTCTTGATAGTATCAAAGATTGAATTAATTATGTGAGATAGTGTTTTGGTTTACTGGATAACCCAAAATATGATTACATATTTAATTTATTTAACTTTTTATTTATAATTATTTATCTATTTAATTGAAACCCACGTTTCCTCAAACGTTTACCTTAATTTAATTTCTTCAGTTACCAGATTGCTTGAGGGGACGTCAATAAAGGTGGGGATCTATTCGGGAATTCTGGACCTACTTTGCGCCACCCCGGGCACCGTAAACTGGATCAATCGGTTGAAGTGGGGCGGCAGATCTGAGTATGCGAAGGCACCCCGTACCGCTTTCCGGATCGACGGAATGCTCGAAGGCTACGAAAAACACGGCGGACGACTCAGCATGTTCTGGGTCTATCGAGCGGGACATCTGGTGCAGCAGGAAAACCCAGCGGCAATGGGATACATTCTGAAATACTTTACTAAATATGGATAGTCTACAAGGGTCTTAAATAAAATTCAAGATTTTTCTAAACATTTTTTTTACAAATTAAATATGATCACTCTGCCCATGGGCACGTATCACTCATACGTACTGTTGCCCCTATTCAAAAATTATATATTCACTGAGTAAGAGTAATTTTTAAAAACTATTGAGACTGTTACTCACGCCTTAAACTTTTTATAAACACATCAAGAAATATCTATAAGGGGTTTTTGGTTTTTTTGCTGACTAAACAAATGAAAAGAACTTAAGACTTACACATTAATTTTTCCAAACCAGAAGTATCCCAAAACACTTTGTAATTAAATGCCATAATTCTCGAGCCAAGGCCACAAGTCACCCACATAAGGGCCTCGCCCAGAAGCATCAGCAGTAGCAGCAGCAGCAGCAGAAAACAATTCTCTAACAATTTACTCAAAATTAACTGAGTCTCGGTGGCAAACTCCCGCCCAAAGTTTCTGGCTGGGATGCGGTCGGCCTCATCACACGGACAGACATTCGTCTGGCTCCGGCGGCCCCATTGTTGGAGCGCTTTACAGGTGCACCGCATCAATTTATTTTCCACACAAAAGCCTATTAAAAGTCTTACACACTTGGGCATTGATGAGCGGCTGGGGAACCTCCCGTTTCGGGTCTGGGTAAATGTTTGCACAAATGAAACCACTTAACCTTTTTTTTTTTGTTTTGCTGCTGCCGCCGAAGGAGAAATGATCAGGGGGGTAGTCGGAAAGATGCTACATTGTGGCAACCGGGACCGCAGCAAAACAAATTAATTAAAAACTTAAAAGTTTGTCTACGGCAACGCCTCAATTGTACGGAAAAAGAGGAATTCGAGAAAAGACAACGAACGGAAGGACCTTTTGACAAATCCCTAAAGACTACAATTGATCTGGCCAAATATGTGTTCTTCTTTTTTGACAGGCATTCCTTTGATATCCTTCTTGCCATTTTCAAAAAGTTTAAGGTCGTTGCTATAATCTTAATACTAAATCCTAAATAAATGTTTAAATTAGAAAATTTGAATTAAATTTAAAGATTTTAAAATCAACACCGAAAATAGTCAAATGAAAAATTGACCGCAACGGATTTTCAAAGCAAAAAATCTTTTAGCTGAGTAGGTACTTTTTGGATTAAATTTTTATCGGATTGAGTGTAGATCAACCCAACTTAAGTATTTCATAGAAAACCACTTGAAGTAAATGTATTATTTTCTATTCCATTCGAAATAATAACCTTTACCTTAGACAATCAGATTCGCCTTGACTAATTTGAATTAATTTGATTTGATGGTAAGGCAATTTGACAATTGATTTTGGTGGCACAGCTTCTTACATATTTAATTTCGTGCCTCACATTCTCCCCAGCAGCCCCACACTTCAGAAATCACTCACGTCCCTTTGTCATCAACAACTAATTAGGAAATACTTACGGGCGAGAATCGCAATCGAATAGCAAAGGGCCGCCAGTGCCGAATAGATAGATTGTAATTGGAGTCCATGGTTTTTGAGCTCGCGTTCCACACGAACCGCGCTCCGTCACGTCAGGGAGCCGAGTAATTTTCACACAAGTTAACGCCACATATCGTGCATATTAATTATAGGCAAATCTAATTTGCCACCGCCGCGAACACCCCGTTGCAGGCTCAGCAGACGCCAGTCACGTATGAGGACCCGCTCCAAGTATGCGGATAATGCTCCTGCACGTATGCCACAGGCTCAGGGCTCCGAACAGGCCAAGTTCTGGGCTACGATGGCTGCGATGGCTGGGTCATGTGTGGCTGCCATGTCTCCCGGCCGAGGGACGGCTATTGTAGCCATGTCAAATATTTATAGGTAAGCATGCCAAGATTTACCACGCCGCTCACAAATTGCTCCCGTCCGCCGGCTTTCTTGGCCCGGCCGAGAGTAAAATAAATTAAATGCCTGCTGAAAACAAAGGAAAATTCTTCGCATGAAAAATGTGGCTGGCTGCCGGATGATGTGGGAGCAAAGGCGAAAGGCGAGTGTAGAAACGAAATTAAAGAAAGCAAAGGTGAACAAATAGGTGCTAATTAGTAAACAGTCAAAGGCAGATGTTGCCAATTGTTAAGGTTTTGGTGCGGGAACTAAATCACAAAGAGAAGCTGTCTAAAATCTAATTTGTTTTCTTCGATTGCCTTTTTTTTGGAAAGAATAGCTCGGATACAGGTTTTATGATTTAATAATAAAACATTTGAGTATTTACTGTGAGGTGTATAAATGTATTCTGTCAATTTGAATTTATCTCATCCTTCGTATCCTTCGTTTGACCTTCCCAGATCACCAAAGAATTCAACGTTTGTCGTCAACCAGCAGATGGCCCACTCTTTTCAAGAATCCTTGCATATTTTCCCGGTTGTGGAAAATGTTTGGCGTTATATTTACATTGGCGCCACTCCAAACTGCCCATCTTTGCATGCGTTCGATGACATCCGCACAGAATTTACGTTTCGCAAGCTTTTCCTGAGTGATTATCTTGTCCATCTGCTCTTGCCGTTTGCCTATGAAAAAAGTCGATTAATTTGTATGTTTTAAAACTTACTTCATGACTAACCCTAATTATCTACTATTTTTGTAAACCAATGTTAAGCTGCAACAATACTCACGATTTTCAGAACGCCTATGGGTTTGCCTCAAGTTTTCATCCAGCTGAGATTCCTCGTACTCGGCGATAACTTTGGCGTAGCGGTGATCATTAGGTATATCCTTGACCACCACTCTTTCTTCGTCGGTGAAAGGACATAGTTCGTTGAAGTTGGGACCAGCATAGGGTAACTCGGTGGCCAGCCTGCCGGATTCAAAGTACCTGCGCTGGCTCTCCTTGAGGGATATTCTGGTGGCTACCATCGATAGCACCCGATTGTTGTGGAATCGGAACAACATAGTTGTCATCAGCTTCTCGACTTTCGAAAGGCAGCTGCGAAAACATAAGTAGTATACTAAACCATTAATATTAATACATTTTAAAAGTAATTTAAAATATGCTTCGCAGAATTACATTTTCAATAATTTAAGTCAATAAGCTTTTAAATAAAATAAGGTAACAAAAGTTGTTATTTTCTTGATAAGCTAATGATATGCCACCAAAATCACTAAGGATTTGCAATTACTTCTAAAGGCGTCTAAGACTATGAGCGAATATAAAACTGAATTCAAATTGTTTACGATAGTATAAGTGATTTTAAAACAGGTTTCATCTTCCTGTTGAGTCTCAGTTCTCAGAATATGATGCTTACTTTGTGCTCCGCAGCGAGAGGCTTCCCGGCAGTGACCCGTTCCGCTTCATCTGATGCAGGTGGAGGATCAGGCAGCTGAGCAGGTCCTCGGCGGCGGCGGTCTGCATGCGGTGCAGGTTTCGCACGTCGTGGATGCACCGCCTGCCCCACCAGCCGCGGAACAGAGCCTGGATGCGGATGGCCGCCTGGCGGTAGTGCCCGATGAGCGTGTCCTGCAGCCGCCGATCAATGTGTTGCCACAGGTGGCGCCGAGTCCGGAAGCCGCGCCACCAGCGCTGAATGGTAATCGCAGCCCGCCAGCGCTGAAGGAGCAGCTTTCGGACGCGGTGGCCACGCCAGTGGGACTGGATGCGACGAGCGGCAATAAACAGCTTGTAGTCGATCAAATGCACCGTGGTTCTAGGGGACATCATGATAAACGATTCTACACCTTTCCGCTTCCTCACCTGGATAATTTAACCGCCAAGGGAAGAATGCTAGATTCCTCCGCCACATCTTCAATTCTAAGGACCAGAGGGTTAATCATTCGAATCACAAGCTTAGCTTAACCCTAACTTACTCGGACTCCGACTTCGATTCCGTTTCCGATTCCACATCCACTTGGTACATGGTGTTGCGGTGCCTTCCCAAATGCATCATCTTGGCTCCAAAGTTTGGTGATTGTTTGGGTAAGTGTAACAAGTGTTTTGTGTTGCAGCAACAATTAAAATAAACTCAAGTGTGAAACCCAAGTGTAAGTTCAACGCATTCCTTGTATTTATAATATAGGAGTATATTTGAAAAGCAACTTTGACTTTGTCAAAATTATAATTTAAATAGAAGAAGGTAAGAGAAAAAAGAAACGCTACTTAAACATTGTTCGCCTCATACATTGACGCATTCATTGAAGCTCAGAGACAGAGACAACTATATGGATACTGCTTGAGATTTGTTTGGTAATAAGTTCACGGTCACACTGCATTTTTAACGTTAGATTCAAATTTTATTGTTTTGTTTATTATATTGTGTTTATCCCGTTAATTTGAATGTTTAATCGTTTCCAGTTGTTACCTTTAAATGGTAAAAAATAGTTCGTATACATTTAATTCTCACTTTCTTATTCCGTTTTGTCGTCAACTTCAATGAATGAACAAAATGTAACTTTTTAAATACAATTTTGCTGATTGATGTATCGGCCTTGTTGGTATTTTATCGATTTTTTTTACTATCGGGTATCGGGATCGGGTTCTGTCTATATTCCTTATTGTTTGCTCATTGGACAGGTCATACGTTTGTCTTGCTCCCACTTACGTAAAATCGTAAAGTTAAAAAAATAAATGAGCAGAGAATGAGGTCTGCAATGTAGTGTGATTTTCGCCTTCACACTATTTGATCGAATTTGGCAACACATTTGCATTTGCATATTTTTAGCCGAAGCTCAAGCTCAGAAATCGTTTTAATATGTGACGAGCTGCACAGCCGGGAAATATATTAAATTCACGTCAACGCTAAATAGGTTTACTTCGAGGGAAAGACAATAAAAAGTCAAGTGAAATTATTTAAAGGTAAAAAATTGTGTGATAAAGTGGGAAAAGAGGCTTGGTGGCATTCCAACTCAGAGGTGTTATTAGCGCCCACCTTATTTTTGAGATGAACTCACCTGTGCCTCGCTTCATGCGCTCAATCAACTTTTGTAGATTTTTCTATATTTCTTTTTTTGCACTTTGCTTTTTGGCACGGCTCGTGTGTGGACTTCTTTATTATTTTCCGAAGCTCCCAAGGCTCTCGCAACGGCAGTCATGATGTCGGCCTCCCGGTGCGATGATGTGTGTCGATATTTGACACTTTATTGTGTGCACATCATCAATTTTCAAATTATTGTCAAGTACAGCGAGTGATGAAGAAGTAAGAATGGGAAGGTTTAGTATTCGTTTAAGTACATGATTTGCATACAATAATTTGTGGAAATATGGAGCAGATATTATCTATTTTAAAAACCAGTTTTGTTTGTTAGCTTTTGTTAGGAATACCAAGTTTAGTCACAACCGATTTAAATCTTAGACTGAAAAACTGTAATTCAATTAATTTATTGCAGTTCAAGTTTTTTTAATATGAGTATATTGATAAAAATATATTACGGTTTAAATCAAATAGATTTGTTCATTCAAAATGATTTGTATATTTTTTATGTGGTTAAGTTAAATATTAAAAAATCAAATAATAGATTAATACATGCACAAGCAAGAATTTTTGTTTATTTTTAAACTCAACTCTTAAACATCTACACCCATTTATTTGACTAGTACTCACACAGACATCCGCACACAGTCAGCGCACACTTGGTGTGCCGCAAAGTATGCAATCAATTTTTATAGCCCACATGCAGCGCCAAGCGAAGGAAACAGAACGCCGCGACCTTCCAGCCCACGCCTACGACCACGCCCACTCCAGACGCCTCCAAAACCACGGGAGTCTGATGCTGCAATGTTTCACTAATAATTTTCAATATAATCAGCACCTGCGACGTCGCCCAAGCATTTGCGCAAATGCTGCTAATGTACAAACATTTGTGGCCCCCAGCGAGAGAATAAAAAGTCCAGGATGCGGCCTGGGCGTCCAGGATGCGGCCACGTAATGCCTTTGCGGCGGTAATTCCACCACATGCGGTTATGGCTCAGTCTTTAAAGGTGTGTGAGTACACCAGCGAAACATCAGCTACCTATTTTGCTTTAGTTCAATTGTTTGTCATTTTTTGGTTGCCAAATGAATCATCCAGGAAATTTCATTTTTATTATAAAGTCATACGTAATAGCAGCACATTCATTTGCCATGAGAGCAACAGAGACAGATTATTTGGCAATTATTGATAAGATCTATTCTTTGTTTTGTTTGTGAATAGATCTTAAAAAAATGTACGGGGTTAAATGTTAAGTCTTCCCATTTCTCTGGAAAATATAAGGAACTGGGTTAAAGGTTCAGACTTTCCCAATAATTTATTTCTGGAGAGGTTCAAAATTTGATAAGAATTGTTCACCTTAAGCGTGGTTTTTATTATTTTTTATTCTCCATTTCAGTCGGCAACATATATTTTTACCAGTGGCGAAGGCGATGGGGGCGAATGTTAATGGGGGATAACTACCAGGTAAGTACGAAATAACAAAAATATGGTCTTAGAAAAAATTATGCAAAAAAATGATAATGAAAGCCCTCCCCCTATCCCCCCCTCCCCTCTTCACCCACCACCCTGCTTTTGTACCAAATCCCAGATAAGCCACTGGTACAAACACATATGTATTTACTGTAGATGTAGAGGTATAAAAACACCTCTAGTTCCCTTGGGACGAGCCATAATCTGTTGTCGCTTTCAATTGATCGGTCGCAAAAAATCCAGTGCTCTTTTGGTGAAAAAATAGAAACAAGAAACGATTGCAACATGCGGTTGATTTTGATTTCAATTTTGCTGCACTGTGTGTTGTCAATTAATGCCGTTGGGTAAGCTTAAAAATTCATCAAATATTTTCAGAACTCAACTTCTGCTGTGTTAATGCTCAATTTAAAAATAAATTTTCAAATACGGTTAATTGAAAATCCTTTTGCTAGTTAAATGACATATTCAGCTCATTGAAAAAAATTCTAAAATATGTACACCCTATTTATTTTCTTGGGTTGGAGTATCAAGTGACAGCTTGCTAGCATCTGAATTGTTTTTCTGCATTTCGATTAAAAGATTTATTTACGAAACTTTAATGGACACAATTGTTCCAGTATTTCAGTAGGAACAAAAGTGTTAATAAGAAACCATTTTATTATGGTACATATTATTAATGTACATACATTATTATTAATGAACATACATACATTCACACGGAAATTAAAAATACTTACCTAAGCACTTAATATTTATTGCAGTTTTATTAAGGTCATAACAGTTAATAAAAACTAAACAAATTGTTGCTGACATAATTTGTGTTGCTTCTGTTTCAAAGCCATATAGCTTATTCGAACAATGCAAAATGGGCGCAAATGTAATGACTAAAAAAATTTAAAGATTTTTCTAATATTGAATCGTCAACGTTAAATTTTTTGTGGGTTGCCTTGTTCCTCGATATGCATATAAACATAATTGTACATTCATAAATTGAGGGTTTTTACCAGAAAACAATTGCTTGTGATTCCCATATTTCTATATGATAACCCGAAGACCCGATAACGGATGCCATGCGTCTATGCCTGGCGACAAGTAATTAAATTAAGAAGACAACGTTATCAGTAATTTTTTTCTCTGGAAATTGTGTTGCGATTGAAAAGAATAGGACTATTAATTTATGTAAATGTATGTATTATTTTTCATAGAACTTAAATTCCGATTAAAAATTCATTTTAATGACTAACAATGATTTAACGAAAAAGGTAGTTTTTTAACGATTTAAAAAATCTTAACTGCCATCATATCCATTGTCATTTAAAATCTAAAAAGGGACTTACATTAGTCGATAAGTTTTAATAATCTGCACTTTATAGCATCGTGCTGTCGCAATTTAGTTGCTTATGATTTGCTAAATAAAATCAATGTTATTTGTTTATTTTGCAGCATTTATTCCGTCGTGGGACCCAAGACAATTCGACCCTACAGCTCATACAATGTGGCCGTGACCATGCACAGTGCCCCTCGTCCCACCCAAGTGACCGTCAGCCTGAAAGGACCTTCGTTCAGTGAGATGAAGAACGTGGAAGTTGCGCCCATGTCCTCGCAAAACGTTGCGTTCGACATAGCCAAAATCACCGATGGCGATTACCAGCTCAAAGTTGAGGGTGTTGGCGGTGCTGTGTTCCAGAACTCCACCAGGCTGGAATTCGCCGACGATAAGAACTGGATCTACATCCAGACGGACAAGGCCACCTACAAGCCGAACGACACTGTGCAGTTCAGAGTGCTCTTCGTAGATAGGAACACCAGACCTGCCACGATCGACAAGCCAATTACCATCGAGATCCACGACGGGGCCAAGAACATGATCAAGCTGTGGGAGGATGTCAAGCCAACCAAGGGCATTTTCACCGAGAAACTTCAACTGTCCGATCAGCCGGTGCTGGGAAACTGGACGATGACAGTCCGGATCAAGGACATGGCCGAGGAGACCAAGACGTTCGTGGTGGACAAGTATGTGATGCCGAAGTTCGAGGTCAACGTGATAACCAAAAAGGATGTGGTGCATAGCCAGGGCTATGTTATGGCGACGATAGTGGCCAAGTACACCTTCAGAAAGCCGGTCAAGGGCACAGTCGTCTACTCGATCGAGGGCAGTGGAATCGAGGAAACCGTGCCCATCGATGGATCTGTGAACGTGGAGCTTCCCTTTGCGGCAACGGCCAAGAGTCCTCTGAAAATCACTGCCATTGTTACGGAGGAACTGACGGACCTCAAGCACAACGGCACTGCCTACGTATCGGTCCACCAGCATCGCTACCAGCTGCAGGAATACCATTGGCCTACGACCTATACGCCAGGAATTATTTATAATTTCATCACTGCGGTCAAGAATGTGGACGGTACTGCTGTTCAAGACCCCTCAAAGAAGGTTAGGCTTGACGTGTTGTGCTGTCAGGATCGAAGGACCATAGAAAGTGCCTTTCCTCAAGGCATCGCCAAGCACAAAATAATGTTTCCCGATAACTCGTGCCTAAGTTGCCTTGTGACTGCCAAGATCGGAAACGCAGCCGATATCCAGCAATATACGTATAAGCTGCACAATTCACTCCAGATCGAGGTTATTACCAAAAAGTGAGTACAATCAGAGGTGCCAATATGCTTTCCAGTGTACTCATTCTAATATCTTTCAATTGACAGACCCAAACTGAGGCATCCGCTGTCAATCAATGTTGTGTCCTCCAACCATCTTCCCTACTTCATGCTGGCGATTGTCGCTCGGGGTAACATCATCTTCAGTCGATATATTCGAGTGGAAGGAGGTCACATGAACAAGACTTTGACATTCGAGCCCAAGTTCGATATGGTTCCTCAAGCCACCCTTGTTGTCTACTACGTTGTCAACGGTGTTTTGCGCACCGACGAGAAAACCATCAATGTCGAGAAGGACTTCGGCAATACGGTAGGACATCATAGTCGAAAGTTTAACCCGGTTTAACCCCTTTAAACTCCCTCACAGATTGAAATTTCCGCACCGACAGATGCAAAGCCCAAGGAGAATGTGAGTCTCAGGGTGAAAACCGATCCCCACTCCTTCGTTGGTCTCCTGGGAGTAGACATGAGTGTGGATCTGCTTAGATCTGGCAACAACCTCAATCGGGACCAAATATTGAACAACCTGCTTAAGTACTCGACCGACGTGGTGACCCTAACCAATGCAAATGCCGACATCGGTAACGTCAACTGTGAGTAAATCAATTGGCTTGTGTCGCTCTTTCTAAACTAGTTTCCCCCACACAGTTGGTTGTTACACTGATCCTGGTAAGAAACGATCGTATGAACGGAAAATTTACTTTACTTTATTTGACTTAATACCTTTACTTATTAGGCAGCAGGGGTTGTACTGTTTCCCCTCCCAGTCGCAGCGGAGATATGAAAGGTCCGGCCGGCGGTAAGATATTTTACACTTATTTTATTATCTACATTTTCTTCTATTACATATTTTTTAATTCCAGGAAAGAACATGCCTCCTCCAACTGCCGTTGGATCATCCAGTGCGCAAGATTCAACTCCACCAGTTCGCAAGCTGTTCCCTGAAACCTGGTTTTTCGAAGATGTATCAGAGTAAGTTTCAGTACTTGGCAGCAGTACAAACAGACAAATATTAACAACAATCTAACAGCGTGGGTGCCAATGGCGAATTTAAATGGGATAAGGTGGTGCCCGACACCATGACCACTTGGATGATCACTGGCTTCTCGCTGAACTCCAATACGGGCCTTGCCGTAACGCGAAGCGAATCCAGAGTTCGCGTGTTCCAGCCCTTCTTTGCCACCACCAATCTGCCGTACTCCGTGAAACGGGGTGAGGTACTCGCCGTTCCCGTGATCGTGTTCAACTACCTTGACAGGGCAGTTCGGGCGAAGGTGTCGATGGACAACTCTGAGAAGCATTACGAGTTTATCGAGGCCACCAGTGCGAATGTGACGAAGGAACTGCAGCAGCTGCGAAGGGAAAAGTATCTATCGATACCCGCCAACACCGGACGAAGCATCTCGTTCATGATCAAGCCCACGAAGGTGGGACTGATCACGCTGAAGATCACCGCCAACGGAGGTCGAGCAGGGGATGCCCTCCATGAGATCCTAAGAGTGGAGCCCAATGGCGTAACAAAGTACGTCAACAAGGCCGTGCTGGTCAACGCTCGAGGGCGCAATCGTCGTAGCGCGAGGGAAGGTTTGGGGCTGGGGCTGGGACCGTTGGAGAAAACCCTTAATGTGGAGCTACCCGATGATGTTGTAGAGGGCTCAACATCCTTGGTGTTCAATGTGGGCGGCAGCATCCAGGCGCCCCAGCTTGAGCATCTGAACGGTCTGGTTCGGTCGCCTTACGGCTGCGGCGAGCAGAACATGATGAACTTTGTGCCCAACATCCTGGTCTTGAGGTACTTGGAGGCCAGGAACCTCACAGATGCCGAGGTATCGGTGCCGGCTAGGACATATTTGGAGACCGGCTACCAGAGGGAACTGACCTACAAGCGTAATGACGACTCATTCAGTGCCTGGGGCCAAAATGATCGCGCGGGAAGCACTTGGCTAACCGCCTACGTGATCCGATCCTTCCACCAGGCGGCTAAGTTCGCATTCATCGACCCCAACGTCCTGACAAGAGGCCTTGAATTTCTCGTGTCCCGACAGAATCCCAATGGCGAGTTCCCCGAGCTCGGCAGGGTCATTCACAATAACCATGGCAGCCCCTTGGCACTTACCTCATTCGTCCTGTTGGCTTTCTACGAGAACGAGGTGAGAATTATTGGAATTAACACAGCTTAGTAATTTTTGACAGCTTATAAACTATGATTTTAAAACGGAGGCTAAGCCAAGTCCCAATTATTTGACTTTTAGGAACTTTTTAAATACACACCGGACTTTATTTAAATATGACAATTTCTTAATAAACTATTAAAGCCAGAGGTTTAAACTATCATTAAACCAGAAGTTCAGCTCTAGACTTGCTGTTAAAAATTTCCTAAAAACAAATATTTGAGACTATCACCACGACCTTCCTCAAACTAAGTTGTGAGGGAATCTTTCGGTTTCGAAATGCTTTTGTTTAAAAGTTCAGATTTTTGCCGCTGGATTATATATTACAAATAACAAAGCAATTATTAAATTTCAATGTGCATTTTCCCAACATTAATATTAATATTAATATGACTAAAAACTAAATGTCGATTAACGAACTAAGACAAAGGGTAACAATAGAAAAGGTTTATCAAATGTTTTAGATTTCAGTTGATCCAAACTGAAACTAGGCAAATACAACCATTCTCCATTTATCCGCAGGAGACCATGTCCAGATACCAGAGCGTGATCAGCAGGGCCGTTCAGTTTGTGGCCCGGAAGGTGGATGAGTCTAACGATCCGTACGATCTTGCCCTCGCCGCCCTGGCACTTACATTGGCCAAACACCAGAAGGCGCAGCAGGTTCTGACCATGCTGGAAAGCATGGCAAAGCGGAATGGCGACCAAAAGTGGTGGACCAGGTCGGACAATAGTGTTAGCAACGATGTCGAGATCACCGGCTATGTGCTGCTCGCTCTTCTAGAGAGTGATACATCGGAATCGACCGACAAGATTGTCAACTGGCTGATTAGCAAGCGAAACAGCAACGGAGGATTCTCCTCGTCCCAGGACACGGTCGTTGGCCTCATGGCCCTGACCAAGTACGAGATCCACACCCACTCACCGATTGGAGCGATCGACATAAACTATACGTTTGGGAACAATCGAAGAACTATAAAGGTTACGCCCCAAGAGGAAACGAAGGTGCAGTCCCATCCTTTACCAAGAGACACCCGTGATGTGAGTTTTTCGTCCTCGGGCCGAGGTCAAGTTCAAGTCCAACTCTCGTACCGCTTTAACGTGGACACCGAGGAGAAGAGTCCCAGCTTCAAGCTGACGACAATGGCCAAGAAATCGGACAACCAACGCCTGGTCCTGGACATCTGCGGCGAGTACACTCCCGTTGAAGCCTCCGACATGGGCAAGCCCACGAACATGGCGCTAATGCAGATCCAGCTGCCATCCGGCTACGTGAGTGATCCCGAGTCCTTTGCGAGCATCCAGGCCATCGCCCAAGTGAAGCGCGTGGAGTCGAAGAGCCAGGACACCGAGGTTCACATCTACTTCGAGCAGCTGAGGCCCAACGACCGCAAGTGCCTGACCGTAAAGGCGATCCTCACCCAGCAGGTGGCCAATTTGAGGCCGTCGTGGGTACGCCTCTACGACTACTACGTCATGGAGCGCAGTGCCACGGAGTTCTACAACGTGGACACTTCCCTATGCGACGTCTGCGAAGGCGAAGACTGCGGAAGCGGATGCTAGAGTGGTTCAACCAAATGCATGATGTTGTATATACCTGCACTTAGGAAAACCGTTAAGAGTAATGGTTATATAATATTGTGTACCAAAATGCATTCAATGTCTTAAAAAGTCTATATCACTAAATAAAATGATTTATTAAAGGAATACTTCCTTTAACGTTTCTTATTTGTTAAAATAATGTTAACAAATGCATTCAAAAAAGGCTTAAAAAGTCTAAATCATTTAGGTTTAGATTTATTAAGAAATACTTCCTTTATAATATGGTCTCAAATATTTATCAAGTGTCTGATGAAATCGGAAACTCATTCAAAATTTGAAGTTCACTTATAGTTTATCAACTATATTATTTCCCATATATCTACAAAGATTTTAACTAACTGAACCGATCACTTACAAGATAATATATTAAGAAGATATAGTTAGTTGCAGTTTGTTTTAACATATCCAGATTATTCAGACTAGACTAGGCAATGCGTTCCCCAATCTTCAATCACCATGAATTAAAGATATCGAGTACTGACCCGCTACTATTAAAAGCTTGGCTTTTGTTGACAGTCATCATAAAAATATATATATATATTTTACAACTAAAATGTGCTTACGTATAAACAACATATTTGTATGCTAATTGATGCAAGCTTTGTTTGACAGCTCTTTCATATTGAGCTTTGTATTGTAAATATAAAGAGAAATTAAGACAATCAATTAATTCGTCTCCACATTTAATCAAATGCGTTAATGTTTTTTAGGTTTATATCTATAAAAGTTCTTCAATTACCACATTTCCGTTTTAATAAATTTAAATTTTAATCATTCATTGAAATGAGCTAATAAGTATTTTGTTGGCGAGTCTGTCCGCTGCTGTTTTGTTTGTTGTGTTGCTATGATTAATCATTATTTGAATATTTTTTCTGATGGAGCTTTCTAAATTTATGGGAGCCTGATAATAGGAATTTATATTTCTGAGAAACACGAACATTATTGTCAACGCCTTATCAGTGCTCGCTTTCGAATGATAACTCGGGGAATATTGATTAACCTCCGAGGTTAATTGCTTGAGTTCTCGGATGAGCAATCACTCAAAGTTATATTGAGCTGGTTGTGCTGCTAATGTGATTATTATTATTCAAAATCTTTAAAAAATAAGTACACTTCTAAACAAAACTGTAACAAACTATAACTCCTGAACTTGAATGTAATTTCTGCTAATGGGAGATTAAAGCTTACACTACTACTTCTTTGAAGGAGTCAAGTCAACGTTTCCCAAATAGCGAATTAAAAACTGTTTGAGTTCCTCTTTCCATTGCCTGACGAATGAGCTCCACTGGGCAGGGGTTGCATCAGTTGACAGCCGGAGCTTCGTCCCTCGTCCTTCGTCCTGCGTCCTTTGCCTTCCTCCTGCGCAGTGCCCCTTGCAAATTGAGTAGACGTTTTCTAATAAACATTAAGTTGACATGAAATACACGCCAAACAAATGAAGCAAATGCATTTCAGCCAAGAGGGTTGCAGGGGCGTGGCTGTGGCCAGATGCTGGCTAATGCCGCCCCTTTCAGACCGACTTTCATCGCCGACACCGCAGGATATGTTTACAAATTGAAAAATATAGCATGCGACCGAAAGGACGTGCAGCGAGAAGTGGACAGTGGAACGAAGTCCTATGAAAAACAACTCTAATTAATTTATTAAGGCTAATTGGTATTACTTTAAAGTTCTTAAAGTTGTCAATTTAAATTACACTATGTAACAAGCCACATGAAAATAATACTTACTTGTATTTAAATATCTTTCACATTTATATTTAAGCACATTAAGTGAATATTTAGTTTATGCTTAAAATTATTATATAATAGTTAAATAATAAATATTAAAATATAACATTAAAGAAAGTTCTTGAAGTTTTCAATGTGAAGTTTTCCTTGTGATTTATTTTCTTAAATTTTAAATGGTTTTCACAGCATGATCTGTGGATCTCGAGACACTATGGCCATCTAGGCAAGTTTTGCTGCAGAAATGAGTTGTTACATGGGTCAGTTGGCTGTGGGCAGGCAGACTTCCTGCAAGTGGACCGTCGACGTGCAGCGCGGTTTTCCACGAACACGGCTCTTACATACTAATGTTGGAAACATATAATGGTTTCTATGAAGAATATGGCAAACTGTGCACCGGCATGTACATATATATGCGGTTAAAAATGAATATTTCCTGCATTAAAGCCGCCGGAGGAGGGTAAATCTGACACGGAACATTTGCGTGACAAGTAAAATGTCGGCACATCCGGGGGCATCGGAAAGTGTGGGGTTGAAATTCACGTAGTCCAGTGCATTTCAAAGAGAACCAGGAAAATAATTATGGCCCAAATCACAATAATGCAAAAGAGAAAAGCACAGCAGCAAAGAAAAAAAAAGACGAGCACAAATTAGTAGTGTACACAGTGGTAAAGTGAAAGAAGCCGGCAATGTCAGGAGCATGGAGTTAAGCCGCAGGATATGTTGACAATTTTCTGTAGCCATGACATTGAAAGAGAACTTTTCTGGTCGTAGGGGTAAAGTTAGACAAGCTTGATTGATTACATAGACATAGCACTGAGCAACATGGATATCTTTTCCTTTTAAATTACGTTTAAATAATAATAAATAAATTTCAATTTTGCTGACAGCGTTATAGCTTTTTGTAATTAATTGATTTTGATATTTACTTCAGTAGCTAAAGATGATTAAATAAAAATTAATCCGAAATGGAGCTCCCTGGAAGGCAGTGACATAGGCAATTTATTCAAGGAATCAGAAAATTATTACCCATGGGTAAAAAACACGTAGCAAAGTGATCGGTTTTGCATAGAATTAATCCTGGCAAAGAAGAGGATATTAACTGCAGTCAGCAGCTCTAATTTGGCAATGTCGGATTGACAACAATTAAATTTGCCTCCTGTCTGCCGCCGCAATGAGACGGCCAATCAACTGCCGCTTTGCACCTCCGCAGATGTCGACGTCGTGAAATTGTTGACAGAATTCAAATCAGTGCCGCAGGGCAAACTGCACCGCCGCTCGTCAGAGGAATGCCGCCGCTGATGGAAATGATGATGTTGTGTCGGCAATGTCTGTGTCATAAATGTCACTTTCAATTTCGTTAACTGGCTGGCAGGACTGTGGACTCCGTGGGTTCGATTAAAGCGTGTTTTGAATGGCAAATTAGCTAAACGTTCTCCATCAGACTTTGGAGCAATGGCAAATTTAATTATGTCAGCGGAGCGCTCTGCATCAAGTCATGTGGCAAAAACGACATGTGTGAGAAATACAAAAATATGTTCTTCATCTGCTGCTGAATCTTTCAAATTTTCAAACAATTACTATATAACATTTTTTAATATTTTCTGTATCTTAACGCATACTAATACTGTCTAAGAATTATAATAGTAAAAACAACTACCTGAATATAAAATCCAACATATTATAGTTCGTATTTTAATTAAATATAATATCATAATGATAATTACAATTCTTACTAAATTAAATTCCTTAAATTTAACTTTAAAATACTTAAATGAATGCAAAGAATATTTAAATTGAAATATTTTAAATCGCCTGATTCTTTTAATTAAATAATGTATTCCAAAAAAAGCGAGTTAAATATTGAAAAAATTTAAAATTTGGATGTTTAAAATCAAAGCAAAATTGGTAGATATTTAATTTGAGTTTTACCAACTTGGACTTGCTACTTTATTTTATTAGCGTTTTAGTCTCTTCTAAAAAAGTCTTCTGGCAAATAGGAAATTTTACAAATTTTAAAAATAAATGCTAATTGTGTAAAGTGTTGAGAAAAATGTGAAATGGATATAAGACAATCGGAAAATGGTATCACGCCCTAAATTGTGTGAACTGAGTGGACGCACAGGACGGGAGTCTAGTGTCAAAGAATTCGTTTTTGCAATCGCGTCGGTTCTTCTCGTCCTCGCCAGCATCCTGCACCGTGAATGTCTGGACCGGCAATGAGTGCTTCCTGCTTCCGGCAAACCGACTGTCTCCAGACAACTGTACAAGCAACTATAACTGTCGGCAAGTTGGCTTTATTACTTCCACACTGTTGAATATGCATATAAAAAGCGAATCGACAGTGGAGGGCTGCTTTGACGACTAGCGGCACACGCCCACTTTGGCTGGTTGACTGGTTGGCTGGTAGGTTGGTCCTTTGTACTCCTGCCAAAGGCCAAGGCAGCCCATTTGGAGGAGGAGGAGGACCCGGACAGGGACCCCGTTCCGAGGCGGGTGCATTATCACTTGCCAGCCAAGCAAAATATTGTGGGTGCATTAAATATTTTCCCTCTTGCCGCAAGACAAAAGAAACGCTTCACGAACTCTGGGCGGAGGATGGATGAGCTCCGAGCTGCACAAACTATGCGGGCAGGCCTTTGTCTGCGTTTTATATTAAACTATTTATGCCGGGCTCTCCGTATCCTTGGCTCCTGGCCACCGGATCTCGAGGAGTCTCGGCTCGGTGGCGCTCGAAAGCCGAGACTCAAAAATTTACCTACTGCCGCTGCTTTGGGGGCTGTGCGCAACATTTTCACAATTTTTATCGAGCTACATTTTGCGGGGGAATTTATGAAAAATTTAAAACAATTATGTGGCTTTGGCCGCATCGTTCCGGCTGCAGGATGGGTAGCCATTGATCGCTCGGTTGGTCAGTTGGCGTCACCAGAATTTGTTCAGGGAATTCCTCCTTGTCGAAGCAAGGCATACCAAGTATGCATTGATTGGTTTTCTTTAAAAAAAGAAGGAAAAGCTGTCCGAAAGAGAACCAAGTGAGCAGGATTTGGTTTATGTGGTTTTCTAAAACATCATCATACAAAATATCAAGAGAAAACACTGTCCCTTAAACAAATTTTCAATGCATTTACTTAAATCATTGAGGAAACTAATACTGTTTAACACCTAAAATATTAATTAATGAACGAATACATATTTTAAAAATTGCTGTAATAACTTTGCTATAAGCTCCGGGGAATGAAATTGTAAAAGACAAATATTTGCAATTGTCCACATTTTAAAAATAAGATTTCGTAAACTTGTTATACGGTTTCTAGAAACCTTCTTATCCAATACCTATTGTAAGAAAAACAATTCACAAAATAATTCAAAATTTATACAACTATTCTTCTAGTTTTGTTTTAGTAAATAGCAGACTTTGAAAAGTTCTACAACTATGCTAATGATTATGGACATTATCTCTAGATCCTGTTTTGCCCCGTTGCGGTCAGCTAAAAATGATGGCTTAGTCGGACAAAAATCGACGAACGAAACATTCCGCATGACCGCCTCTTGCGATATAACTGATTCGACTTCCGGTCCGCAACTGTGATGCATTCTGGTGGCCGGAAATGGTGGAAAATGCTGCGGCATAGACAAATTTTCGGTGGCAATTTGCAATGGGCTTGCAATGGCATTGGTGGTGGGGGGAAAAACTTAATTAGCCTGCCGCAACCCAAAATCCAATTGGATTGGTGATTGTTGCTGGAACCATAGCAAACATTTTCGTGGCAATTGTCTCCAGGGAAAATCGATGGCAGCATCCTTATTTGGGAGTTTGATGAATGGGGCAGTCGGCCAACTTGTGTGTGTGTGTGTGTGTGTTTGTGTGTGTGTGTGTGTGTGTGTGTTCGTGTTCGCATGTCAAACAATATTGCAGGAGGCAGAGATTAGTTGCTTATTTTGACAGGAGCTGTCAGTGTTGCGTTTAGCACCGGTTCCGGGAAAGCCAGGATCTTGGACCGGGAAAACATACGAAAATATCTGCAGCTCCATTTCCTTTTACGATGGCATATGTGTGTGTATAGTGGATGTGTGTGCCTTAGCCAGCTGACGATGATGATTCTCATATCTCTGGTGCAGCCAGTGCATGCACTTCTGCTCGAGTGCCCTGCCACATCCGTATCCGTATCCGCATCCACATCCACATTCGCATCCGCATCCTTGTCCGCACCCTTGTCCGCATCCACATCGAGCATAGTTTTTCTTTGGCTTCTCTCATTTTTCATGCGCGCCAGCTAAGCTTTTAATTAAATGCAAGAAAATTCAATTTTAATTAAAATTTCTCAAAAGTCTCTGGCCTGGCATTGCATACGGATAGCGCAGCGATTGGATGGGGATGCGGATGCGGATGCGGATGAGGACAAGGATGCGGATGGGAGTGCGGATGAGGATGAGGATGAGAATGAGGACTAGGTATGGGCTTTCGGGTCTTGTCCTGTTTTCGATTCTGGGCTCTTCGGCTCGAGTGTTTGCCAAACGTGTAAAATTGAAAATTAGGAAATCGAATTGTAATGCCACCAGGGGAAGACAAGGACGCAGGAGGGGGGGAGGAGGTTGTGTGCGGGAGGGGAATCCAGATCCAAGCCATCAGGCACACAAAAGCAAAATTGTAAAGTAATTGGAAATGAAAATTCATTTAGGATCCGCACCGGGATGAGCAAATGCGCCGGCAAAGGGCTGAGGGTCTTACACTTTGAAGGGGGGCATACGGCATAATCCGATTGAGCTTTGTCATTTCGGGGAGCCCCTCAAATGGACACAGTTCTCAAACAGCAGATATTTAATTTCATGGTATCCTTTGTATTAAGGGCAAATAATCACTTTTCCTGCAATCCTGCATTGCAGCTAGTTCAATTTGTTCGATTTTATAAGTGAAGGCTAAAAAAAGCAGTCTCTTAAAAAAAAATTGCAATCGTTTAGAAACATTTATGCGGTTGTTCAAGCCCTTTATAAATATAGTTTATAAAAACCACTGGTGGAACAGTATTTAAAAAGCTGTTTTAAAACAGGTATTAAAGTTATTAAAGTAATTTAAAGGAATAACTAGCAAAAAAATGATTATTTTTACCCAATAACTAACAGGTAATAATTTATTGATTTTAATGCCTTTATTTTTATCAATCTTAGTTTCAGAAACATTTATTAGCAGTTTTGAATTCATTTATTTGGTAATTATACATATATCTTCAGGAGGAATGTCCTTTTTATTGAACAAATCGATTCAGCGCAGCTTTGGAAAATATACATGTGTACACCCCCTTACAAAACACAAGACCAATAACTAATCCACACGTGACTGTCAATATTTTGATATTCGCAAAGGGACTGGTGGCAAAGTTTTGAGTAAAAGTTTGTTAGCCTCCGAAAGCCAGCGAGGCTTTTGTGAGCGTTTTGCACATAATTTAAGCGCTCACATCCCGTCAGTCATAAATTACACATATTACATGCACGTATAAATCGCAAACCAGATCCGAATACGTATGCGTATGCGTTCGAGGGTCCTGCTGGGCCCAAAAGTGCGCCTGCAAACTGGGAGCAAAGTGCTTAACATACTTTTTGGTGCAGGACCCACAAACACGCACACACACAGTGGCAAACAGATACATGGGCAAATCGGGAAACGCACGTAGCGAAAAAAGTTGCAAAACTTCTGCCAGCGCGCAAGTGAAAGCTGGAAAGTAAGTCAAGACGCTGCCAAGTCGAGCTGCAAATGTGACTTTTACTTAGGACACCACATTTTCCATCCGGAAAATCTAGGATTCCAGCACCAGTTAAAATGGCCCATTATAACACACACGATTTCGAGGCCTCGGGTCAAATTAAATTTTAATGGATTTCTGTAAACTTAAGATGCCTGGCCATAAGAAAAATATATCCTTACGTACATTGCATTGAGTATTGAAAGTATTAAGAACGTATTTAGTTAAAGTAGACAAATCTTTGTTTGTCAGACTGTCCTAGAATTAGTATTGTTACAAAATTTAAAATTTTCACTTTATTTTCGGCGTCCCGTCCAGAAGTCTTAGACTCTAGTCTTCTAATTCAGCATGCTGATATGGTTATCTAGTTTTTATAAAGTCTACAAGCCATATATTGCACTGTTTCGCTTTTTATTCGTTTTGATTGCACTTCAAGTTGCGGGCTCAGTCAAAGTTTCGCTTTATAATGAACCCCGTTTACCGGCAACTATTACTCCCTATCACTATGACATCAAGTTGATAACCCACCTGGATGACCTGTCTAACCTGAGGTACAATGGTTCCGTAAATATTTCCCTCCTTGCTCAGAAAAGCACCAATCAAGTGGTGCTCCATGTGGCCAATGTTTCCATCGGTGGCAAGAGTATAAAGCTTTATGGTGAGACCTCGGACTATCACCTGATGAATGTCAGATTCAACAAACTTCGTGATTATATGGTTCTAACTTTCAACAAGCCTTTAAAAATGGGCAAGTCCTATGTGCTCAGTATTGAATTCGGTAGATCAATGTCGAGAAAAAAGGAAGACGGTTACTTAGTACTTCACTATATGAATGCAAGGACATCGAAGAAAGTGTAAGAGATTGACTTGTGTGTCATTCTGATCATAGTTTAGTTGATATGCTTTGCAGTTGGTACTCCGTGTCTCGTTTTCATCGGAACTTCATAAGAAACACCATGCCCACTTTTGATGAGCCTGCCTTGAGGGCCACCTTTAATGTGACAATGGGCCATCACAGGCGTTTCCAGAGCTACAGCAATATGCATGTTAGAGCTGTGCTGCCCAAGTTAGTTATGCAGTTCCTCTTTAGTTCTTAATTATTTTATTTTTTTTTTTTTGACTAGCCTTGAACTTCAGGACTATGTTTGGTCGGTGCATGAAGTGACCCCCCTCATGCCCACCCATTTACTGGCCTTTTCGGTGAACAATTTCACCTGTCGGTTTACTCAGGCGATCAGTGCGAATCCCGTTCGCATTCGCACCTGTTCCAAGTCGTCGGATGTGCGTGAGACCGCCTTTGCCGCTGAAAAGGCTCCCCAGCTGTTGCAGTTCCTGGACGGACTGCTGCAGGTGCGCCTGCCGCTGGACAAGATCGACCAGCTGGTGGTGGACGATTTCCCCAGCTCGGCCATTGAGAATTTCGGCATGGTCGTCTACCGCAGCAGGGATATCCTGCAGCGCGAGGATGGCCTGATGAGCAGGGCCAAATTGCAGGCACTTCAGCTGGTGGCTACCCAAATGGCTCACATGTGGTTTGGCAACCTAATGGGCATTGACTGGTGGTCGGATCTCTGGCTGAGAGAGGGTCTAACCGGCTATTTTGAGGCCCTGGCCGCGGATCATTTGCAGCCGGGAATGGGCCGTAGAATGCTGCTACGCTGCCGCGAAACGGCCTTCATGTACGAATCGCAAGTGGATGGCATGTCCTTGGCGCCGCTCTTTCCGCCCGCCAGTCCAGAATCGGAGGAGCACCTGTTCCAGAAGGCCACTTCTCTGATTGGAATGCTGAATGGCTTCCTGGGCAACGCCACATTCTACGACGGTCTGCAGCGGCATCTGTGGCAAAACTCCTTTGCCACCAGCACTGCCGATCTCTTCTGGCGATCACTGCAGTTGGCCAACGAAAGGCAGTCTGCCAAGCCCAAAGACTGGGATGTAAAGGCCATCATGGACACGTGGATCACACAAAAGGGCTATCCACTGGTCACGGTCATCAGGGAAGGCAGAAAGATTACCCTATTCCAAAGCCAAGCGATCAAGGAGAGCGGAACGAAGCTCTGGTGGATTCCCCTCACCTATTTTATCCAACATGAGACCTCCAACGAAGACCTCAAGCCGAGAGCCTGGCTCACTCCACTCAATGATCGCCTGCAACTGGACGAGGAGGTGCCCCAAGATCGTTGGATCCTTCTTAATCTGCGGGCCATCGGCTATTACAGGGTCAACTATGACGAGCACACCTGGAAGTTATTGGCCAAAAAGCTTTTCGATGACTTCCGCAGCATTCACGTCCTTAACAGGGCTCAGATCGTCAGCGATGTCCTTTTCCTGTGGAAGCACGAGCTCATCAGCTGGAACACCGCCTTGAACGTCCTTAAATATATCATCGACGAGGACGAGTACGAACCCCTCATGGCGTTTGTTGTGGGCGTAACCCATGGCCTTTGGGGCGTCTCGCCGGAGAGTTCCTTTTACATTGCGGTAAGCCATTTGCCAAACAAATTTCGAAATTTCTTAAAAGCTTGAAATAAATTGTTCTCTTAAAATGTTTTATATTTAACTCAGACTTTATCGATGCTAAAACTGTATATCTAAAGATAAGCCTATTTTTGCTACTTTTTAACTTAGTATGTATATATTTTTCTTTCTTTTTTTTTAGATCAAACAAAGAAAATACTTGTATTCTCCACTAAATAATTTTATTTTAAAACTGAAATTTTTAAATTTATATTTTGGGTGGTGACTTTCAAATTTAAATGAAAGAAATAAATATATACAAATCTAATTAATTTTTATTGGTTAACGTAATAGATTGATTGATTTTGTCTAGTAATTACCATTGTTTCTGAAACTAATCACAATTAATAAAAAACAAGAAAGAAAGCAAACTTCGGCAAGCCGAAGTTCATATACCCTTGCAGCTATTGCAAGAATTAAACATTTTTGAAAACATTAAAATTATAATTTACTTGCGTATATGTTTAAAAACATTGAAGCTGTGATGATTTGCAGCTCAATTATTTGATAGTTATTTTATATATTTTTATTGTTCCTATGGGAGCTATATGATATAGTCGTCCGACTTTGATGAAACTTAAACCGTAAATTGGAAATATTTAACCATTACTAAATGTCGAAGAACTAAACAAAAAATTAAAAAACAGAAAAGTTATAATTTTTTTCATTTATTTTTCCGATTGTTCCTATGGGAGCTATATGCTATAGTCGTCCGATTTTGATGAAATTTTTACCATAATTCTGAAATATTTAACCATTGCTTTATGTCGAAGAACAAAACAAAAAATTAAAAAACAGCAAAGTTATAATTTTTTTTCAATTATTTTTCCGATTGTTCCTATGGGAGCTATATGCTATAGTCGTCCGATTTTGATGAAATTTAAACCATAATTCTGAAATATTTAACCATTGCTATATGTCGAAGAACTAAAAAAAAAATTTAAAAACAGCAAAGTTATAATTTTTTTTCATTTATTTTTCCGATTGTTCCTATGGGAGCTATATGCTATAGTCGTCCGATCCGGCTCGTTCCGACTTATATACTACCTGCAATAGAAAGACAACTTTTTGGGAAAGTTTCATGCAGATAGCTTTAAAACTGAGAGACTAGTTTGCATATAAACGGACGGACAGACGGACAGACGGACAGACGGACAGACGGACAGACGGACGGACAGACGGACAGACGGACGGACAGACGGACATGGCTAGATCGACTCTACTAGTGATGCTGATCAAGAATATATATACTTTATAGGGTCGGAGATGTCTCCTTCACTGCGTTGCAAACTTCTGACTGAAATTATAATACCCTCTGCAAGGGTATAAAAAGTATTTTCAATATAAAACATTCAAAGAAATTTGAATTGCCTTTGTATTAAACTTAAATTTCCGAATATCTGCTTTAATTGTTTGCTTTCCCTATAGAAATGGCTTGGAATTGCTGGAAAATGGTATGCGGAGTTCATCAGTTATACGTTCGACAAATTCGTGTTTCAGGATGTGAACTGGAATAGCCTCGACTACCCGGACTAGCCGCCATTCCAGAACCACAAACTAATGGGCCAGACCAGATCCACAGTCACTTCCCCATCCGGACTCCTTCTTCTCCGGTGGATGGCGAAATAAAACCGCCATCAATGAACCGCAATTGTATTTGTTTGCAAATAACTGAGCGTTATCTGAGACTATTTATCTTTATCTGCAACAACAGCAGTAGCAGAATCAGGAGCAGAAGCAGCTCCGCTCCGCACAATGCCAAAGGACTCGGGAAGGAGTCAGCAGCCACTGGGAACTGGGGCTCCACTTACAAGGCGCCAACTGAAATAATGATGCAGGCGAAATAACAATAAAGGCGGTGCCGCGAAGAGGACCGAGAACTCGGAGGACTGGGCACGAATAAAGGACAGTATCAATGCTCCTTTCCGCAGTGGTAAAGACAATGCCAGACCCCTAATACTGCAGCAATTTCCATGGCAATGCCGATGCCAATGCAATGGACTCCTCCTGCTTGCCAAATCACTTGAACGACTCGAGTGTTAAAGTCTTTAGATGGCTTTAAGGTCGTTGTAAAATGCTAAGGGAGAAATTAATCGATAAAATATAAATTAAAGTACCCTACCTGCGAAATATATTAAGTAAAATTGTGTGATTGTACAAATATTTAAAACAAAACCAAGGTCTAAGTAAAGTAAAAATATTAAGACGGAAAAGGTCAAATGCTGTCAGAAATTTAGTACAATTGTGTGAATATACAAATATTTAAAACATAAACAAAATCATTAAAAATGCCAATATCCTTAACCAGAGCATGGAAAATTGAGGGGGAAAAAGAAAAGCATATTTTACGCTTAATGAAATTTAGCCACAGCCATGGGAGCCAAAAACTCAGGCGGAAGCGGATTGCGCCTAAAACCATGCAAATTAAATTTAATGGAAAATATATTACCATTTTCCGTTTTGGTTATTTTTTCGGAGCCCCCTTTTTTGGCTCTTTTGGATCGTTTATGGCCAGGGGCAAGACAAATATTTATAAATCCAATTTGCCGCTATGCATTAATAACGTTGTTTGCAGCAACAAGTTGAGGCAGGCTTAGCAGGCGAAACATGATATTGTGCTCAGGACACAACTATCAACAACACATTATTAAAGTAAACTGCGAATGTAATTATTTCTGCATCTATTGTAAAACGTTTCATTTTTTTTTGTATTGCCTTTGTGTCAGGTCCTTTCTATGATTATCCTTTTGAGTGGAGTTTTATATGATTTTTATGATAAATTTAAATGTCAGAATCGTGCCGGCGAATGTTTTTTTTAAAATCGCCTTTGTTTGTGGCCATATTTAAATGCGGAAATTCATTAAGGTTGCTATTTATTTTCATACTAGTTAAATAAAAGGCACCAAAGCGTCCACTTTAAGCGCAATAAAAACAAACAGTCTTATACTGTGTTAAAAAATCAATTATTGTAAAAGTAAGTACAAAAAAAATTTCATTATGTGTCAGAGCTGGCCATAATGCAGTTGCTGAATGCAGTTGACAGTTTTATAATGACGTTCATTATGAAAGCGGGCAATTAATTTCTTTTAATTGCCCATGTGCAGCCTTGCAAAAGGTAACAGTTGCAAAAGGTCGCCAAGTTTAAGCATGCAATGAAACAAGATCGTCGAGTTTAGGTATTAATACCACGGATTTTCAGACTAAAAAAATATATAAAAGGTAATGACAAAACGCAAATGACTTCTGTAAAGTCCTCTATATTATTCGCTATCGGGGCAAGGCAGAGTACAAATTTGTTATTGTTATATCATTTAACATACTTTGTAGCTTATTCACAACATATGAATATATGAACACGACATATCTACCCCTTTTCAAACTCCTGTCAGCTGGTTAACCAGCGGGCAACATTCGTTTGACACATTCTCATCTATCTGCCGGCATTGGAGCACTTAAAGCACATGTCGATTGCCCCCATAAAAAGGACAACGGCAGCAGGATATAAAAACAACTTTCAGCAAATAAACAACCAACACACTGGGATTCGAATCCGAGCTGTGTTGAATTTTTTACATGAATTATGCAAAGGAGTGTGTTTCACTGTTGTGGGCGAGTCTGAGTTCCCTGAGTCTGAGTTCCCAGACTCCCACAAAGGGAATTCTTAAATGGGATTTGGGAAATCACAAGCCGAGGAATGAGATGGGTAGGCGAAATTAAAAGGGGATGGCGAATTGCCAAATCATTTTTTTTTTCGCTTTGATGGCATATCCAATTGCAGTTAAGCTAAGTAATATTATATTTGAGGATACTCGCATACGGGTATGCAGCTTATAAGAGCTTACACAGAAAGAAACCTTAAATGGCTTAAAAATTAAAATTCAAATTGAAGGTAAGTTCTTCATATGTTTTCGTTATAAATAAAAAATCATTAATATAATTCCACCAGCAAACTCTGTATTATAGTTCTTAGTGCATATTTTACCACATTTGCATTGCATACGAGTGCAACTATTAAAGCCTGGCCAATAAATTCTGGAAGCGTTAACTGCGTGAAATCCCATGCCCATTTACTTTGGCCCCACGTCCATCTTTGGCCATGGATCCCCGGCCACCACCTGCAAAATTGCAACTTAACAATGCTTCAGAGAACCGAGGCTCCAGAACTCTCCCTAACTTGGCTTTCGTACCCCATGTGGCAGCGACGCATGCGGCGTATAAATCAATATTGGCAATTTAAAATTGGCTGGCGGTGTATGAAGCCAATATCCGGCAACGCTCAGCAGCTCGAGTGTTTGTGTTGGGTCCTGGAATGGCGGGGAAAAAGAACTGTGCCGGGTGGCGGCATTGCGAAAAAGAAGTACCCCGTTTCGGTGGCTGGCTGTGCCCAGAGCAGGCCCTTTCAGCTGTGCAGGGGTGTAGTTAAAGGGATTTCATTGGATTACTTAAAAATACGAGATTTGATAAAAATATCTTTAAAACGTCATACACAAACTATTCAAGTATGATGAAAAATTGTTAGACCCCCCTTGGAAAATGTTTCTGGTACGCCACTTAATCTAGGGACACCACTGTGTATCTTAGACAAACATTATGTGGCACCCGAAACGTTCGTTCGATTTGCGATTTGGCATGGGTGCATGTGTATCCGATTGTACCAGGAGTGGATGTTGTTGTGGAGTTGAGTATTCCGCGAAGTCCATTAAAATGCGAGCATGTACATTTGTGGTCATTTTTTGCGGCCACTGTCAAGGGGTAAATAAAGAACGAATAAATACGGGACAGGTGGAGAAATCCGCTAAATGGTTGGACGGTAGAGAAACAAGCAAAAAACGGTGGCCAAAATAATAAGAAATAGGGCTCAAATCTCAGAAAAAAATCGTATTTCATTAAACACATATATCCTCCATAATATATCATTAAAAGAAATCAGCAGGACCTGTAAAAAAAAAAAACTAAGAATCAACGGATTAGATTTTTAGACTAGGACGAATCTTCATTGGAAATTAAATTTGAAAATTTCTTTATTGGTAAATATTGAGCTGAAAGTCAAATAACAATGCCCACACCCGCGAACACAACCCCCTAATTATGCGCCAATAAGTAAGCAAAATTAAAATATTATGCAAATTACATCGAATGCGGATAGATCGTTGAAATTTAAACGCTTTTTGTTTTGACTTTTAGCCCGGCAATAGCAGAGCGAATAAAATTATGACATCATCATCGGCGTCGTTATCGGCAATGCGTCAAAAACAAATTACCCCGGCGATGAGGACAAAGGTGGTGGGGAAATTATGCGGCATCAAAATCCTTGTTTACCCACTAAAAATCATAGGAACACCGGGTGTGGGTCTTCAAAACAGTTTCGAGACAGCAACGAGCAAAGTGCGTGGAATATAAAAATACTAAAACTGCGTTCGCATCTCTAGTTTTATTGTTGTTTGTCTGTTGTTATAATAAAAAATATTTCTGGGAAGAAAACAGTCATACTTAATGGGGAAATCAGTCGAGCATAAAGTATGGTAAACAGAGATAAATACCAAATGGCCAATGGCACCCACTTTCTGCCGAAAAAAAATGAATAATAAAGTTTTTGATGCTGAGAATTATTCCTTAACTATTGGCCAAATATTTATGTGCAAATGGACGCCAAAAATCGATAAATATTATTAAACTTAAAAAAAAAACAAATGCAATCAATGATAATGAACAACCGTTCTGAAATAAATAATATATAAATGGAATACAAATATTCAAACGCCGATATAAATAAATCAACATATTATTAAACAGCAATAAGCGGTATAATTATTATTCAATTTCATTTAATGTTTTTTTTTTTGTGCTCAGACTTTAGTTTATTTGTGGTGTGCAGTGGTAGAAATTAAATAGCTTGAACACAATTAATTGGCGCCGTTTTGTCTGTCATAATGGATGTTCCCGTGGAATATTTTACTTTAAAATCAAAATATTGACATTCACTCCCAAGCACAAACTTTAAGCTTCAATTTTGCACTTTGTAAGGGCGCCAAGTCTTCCGGGTTCAATCCTGCAAGGCTTACCATAATGTTATTGGAGTATAAAACACTTTTCCTAATTAAAACCAATCCCCTCCCTCGCTGCACTTCTGTGCTATTTTTGTTCCTTTTTTTTTTTTTTGCCCGCCAAATGCTCAACTATCCTTTGGGCCGTGCCAAGAGCTTAACATTAATTGCCGTCTTTCATTTCCCTTCCGTCTTTTTGCACTCACCTGCCAAGCGGCGGAAAAAACGAGGGCCAAGTGAACGTAAAGTTAAGTAGGCAAACTGTAAAAGGTCTGATAAAAAAGTTCGGCGAATTGAAATGCCGCGGAGAGAAGACGACGGAATTGCAGAGCTAATAAAAAAGTTTTCGCTTCCTTTCGTATTAAGTGGACAATCTTCTGTTGCTGCCAAACGCGGGCTTAACTACTAGCTTTGGGCCTCAAGAAATTGCAGCATGTAAATGGGACAATTTTTTGGCAACATTGCATTCATAGTTAAGTTTATTGATTCATTGAGCTGTTAGCGACAATAGATCGGTTACCATTTTGGTCACAAAAATCAGGTATCTGGTATCAGGCATTTCCTCCTACAAAATTATAATTATATAAATCTAAGGTTGAAGATATAAGAGAGACACGAGTACCATATAACTATAGCTATTTTAAAAATTAATAAAATATGCAAGTATAAGCTCCAAATATAACATTCAGTTAAATAATATATGTGTGCTTCACTATTTTACAGAAGTGTAACTTATTAATAAAGCTATTAACTGAACTTGACCATAAATTTGACTAAGTTTGCTTCAACGGAATGTAGGTATGTTTCAAATTAGCTTTCTAATAAAGAGCCAAGATCTGAATCTGTTAATTATGGCAAATATTTTACGAGAATATTTCTGCCACAACGCATACCGGAGGTAATTTTCCGAATTCGAGTTTTGCTTATCGATTTACAGCCCATTTCGCCAGGATTGCGAGACACAGCAGCACATATATATAGAGGTCGACTAAAGTTGTGCTATTAATTAATTAAATTTTGACTACGACCATGCAATCAGCATCCCATGCCACTTGCCCCATGCCCCCCTATTCCGCAACCACTGCCCTTTTGTCTTTGGCTCTGTCTGGTATTGTCGCTGCACAAGTTCTGGTGCACAATTAATCCTTATTAATTATATGCTGCCTGTGGATTTATGGCAAGTTTTGTTCGTTGGCATTTGGCCAAGACATACATACGCAAACTTACACACACACACACACACACACACACACACACACACACACACACACAATCGAGTGCGTTTCTGGGCCAAGTAGGTTGCAATGGCAATGGTTGGCTTACCAACCCCCGTCATTGATATGCCCCCCCATCCTCGACATACCATTTGTCCCATCATAGTGGCCCCATCTCCGACCATCTCTCCACCTGCTGCTTCTGACAGCTGAGACCCCGACAACAACAAGCCAATAGCCAATGGCCGATAGCCGATTGTCCGGCAGGGGCCGGCTCACGTCGTTACCTAATCGCAGACAAAGGAGTCCTTAATTGCTCTCACCCGTTCGAATGTGCCCCAGCAAACAAGGAGCAGGCTCGAACACACACTAGGACAAACATCAATATGGCTTAAATAACTAGCTGCGACAAACAGATACATGATAAATCAAAAGGTACATCTTGTAAATAAATGTGCTTTGAGGTTGTAAATAAGTAATTAACACCTTATCAGGGTTTGTTTTTATTTATTTATATTTAACTGAATGCCTATACTAAATGCTTTAATTTTTGAATTAAATTTGCAAAAACTCAATATTTAAGCTTCACATTTTTAACATCTTTGATAGAACAGTTTTTTCTTTTTAAATATATGCAAATAAGGGTAAGAACTTTCAACAACGCCAGCAAGTTACGTTTTATTACATCCTCAATTCCTTGGCGACTGAATTCCATAAATAAACTCACGGAATGTTTCTATTCGGGCAACTTTTTGTCGCCCCAGGGGCTGTCATTAACTTAATGCTCGCTGAGTCCATAAAAGTCACAGATTGTTGCATATCAGCATCTTTGCCTATTATCAGTTGGTATCCTCATAGGGGTGCTCTGTGCTCTCGACAAAAATACTTGAATTGAAGTCTGTATATAGGTCTTGAATATTATTTACTTGGCAGAAACAGAGGTTATTATAGTTTAATCAGCGTAACAACATTTTATTTTATATTGAGTCAATTGAAATATGGGTTGCAATAAGTAGACAATTAGTAGTGATAAGAATTTTGATTGGACCATGATTCGTGATCTTGTTTCTCAGGAAATGCAATATTAATATATTCCTCTTTGAAAATAAATAAATGCATGCATTCATCTATTGATAAGGTTTTAAGCACTGTGCAAATTAGTAATCTACAATAAGATTACGTCAAAAATATAACTTAAATCATGAAATCACAATTTATTTATAGTTCTCTTCTGAAGAACATTTTTTAAGTTACGGTTTCAAGAAATTTCTTTCATTCAAAGTTTTTGAAACGGACTTTCAAGGGAATCACAAAGAGATCGAAATCAATGTTAACAAATAATGTGGTTAGTTTTCGCAATTTTCACGTTTTATCCATTTTCCCACGGACTGCGGCCTCACTGATGTTTGACAGCAATCAGAGCTATAAAATAGATTGTCATTATCTGCAGCGGGAGATTGGGTGATTTCTTTTTTATGTGGCCGAGTGCATTTTTTCCGTATTTGCATTTCATTTAAAATCAATTTAGCAATCAGTCAGGCGCATTTTGTTAAACAGTAATTAACATAAATCAATTTGAATACAGCTTGGTTATGTAAAAATGTTTATCCAATGGCCTGATGAGTTCACAGACGACATTAATTAGGCCAAATAAGAGAGGTTGGCAAACACAATGTGAGGGGAATATAAAAACGAAATTTATTCATTCAGTTAATTTAAGTTAAGCAAGGGTGAATTCTGGCAAATAATAAAACTAAAGTTTCTTTTGTTTTTGTATACTCTTTGTAGTCCTTGGTTATGCTTTTTACAACAATGTAAATGCTTTTTCATCTGCGGCAAATTAATTTCACATTAATTCCAATAAACCTCTAAGCAAAAACGTAAAAATTAATTAAACCATAGCAAACTATACAAATTTCTGTTTCGTCTTTTTAATGAAAACTCCAAATAACTTATTTATGTTATGGTCGTGCAAAAAATTCAACACTGATTTTCATGGTATTTTTTGCGCTTCTCTAAAAGTGACAATTGCCTTACAAAAACTAAAGCTGCGTAAAAAAATGAATAATTAATTTGTAGTGTGTCATGGTGGTATAGCCAAACAAAAAAAAGCAAACAAATATTGTGGGTTTTAAGTTAAGGCCGATAAAATCGATTACGTGTGAAAATGTTGAGGTTGAATACGTGTTAATTATAAATGGTCACATCGGGAGCGTAAGTCATTTAGCTAATCATTTATTTACTTGTTTCGCTATCGTTAAAAAAAAATGGCTCCAGTGAAGTAAAATTTCAGCAATTTCATTTAAAACAATATTGTGTTATTGGAAAAATAATCAACAAGGGTCATTTATTTTGGTTCGAGACACAATTGCAGATAGTCAAGGTCCTGTTTTCCACAGTCCCTGCCAGTCCTTCGATGCGGATATTCCATTTTTCTTGTGCCAGGCAACCAGATCTCAAAGACCATTTACTTTCGAGGCACACGACCGGAGCCATTAAGTGCAATTGTATTGCGTTTTCGAGACAAAACACTCATCGCCTGTGTCCTCTGCAGTGGCACATATATATATATAGAGAAAACATTGCAACTAAAAACCAAAGTGTGAAGATATTGAAAGCCTTGGCAGGCAGGCATTCTCCCACTATAAAATACCCATTGTAAATAACCTACGCATCGACAAGGACCCTCATTTCTCCTCCCAGCGACTGTTGCTCCTTGCAGATTCTGTTGTTTTTCTTGCCGCTTTCACTTTACACCCAGGCGAATAATTTCTTCCATATACCTATTCATATATGTATATATATATATATAGAGGCCAGGAGCAGTGGCAAACGGAGGAAAAAAATACTTCAAGTGTTCGCAATAAATTCTTTTAAAGCTTTTAAGCCGCAGCAAAAAGGTCTGGTGAAAGGGTGAGCAGTGGGCTAAGAGACCATAGGCAGGGCTCTGGAATTACTTACATAAAATGCGCTTTTAGGGCTAAGCTTGAGCACAGCCTCGCTTGCATCCATATCCATCATGGAGCGCTTAGGCACTTAAGCACTACGGTTAGACTCTCGGTGCTTAGGTTTCAGGGCCATCTTGGAGTGCTGCCTTTTAATGGGAGGAAGTCACTGATTTAAGTTCATTATGGCACCGTAAAGTATAAGGGGATCAGGACTTTAACAAAGGTAATGCAATTTATATTCAATTGGAAATGCTTAATTTTAATTTATAACTAAAACAAATGTATAGTTACAGAAGCTTGGAAGCTTTTAAATTAAAGTATTGCATTGAAAATGTTTTATTGTTCCAGACATATACAATTCTTCGAATCAAGTAAACTCATTTCGTTTCATCTTGATTAAATGGAATTAAGCCTTCCACATAAGTAGACCCTAAACTGTGATAAGGCATTATAAAAGAGCAAGACTTCTGTTCTTATTTCTCAAGAAATGCAGCATGCATTTATGCCTTATGTGCAACTGATAAGGCTGATCGGTTCATTATCAGAATGGTATAAAAGCAGAACAATTCGCAGGCAAAGTCACAGTGTCTTCCAGTCTCTCTCACACTTAAGAACTAAAGATGTCGCCTAAATTCGCACTTGCAATTCTGCTCTTCAGCTGCGTTCTCCTGGGAATTGCAAATGCCCAGCAATACCGCTACCCGCAACAAGTCTATAACAGGCCATATGTAAGTATAATATAGTGTCATTAATTTACTAAAATTTATACTATAATTGATCTTCCTTATTCTTTACTAGGGAGTCCGAAATTTGGGTGGCTCAGGCCCATTACCGCCAAACTTCCCCCCTCCGGAGAACGCTCCACCACCGGCTGGCCCTCCTCCAGATGCAACGGATTGCATGCCCAATCAACTGGCCGCCAAAACTCCTGACAACAAGACTCCAAGACCCAGGCCCCAGGGCTAGGAACAAATCCTATCTATAATAACTTTATAGCCTTAAAAGCATCAACTCATAATAATTGATTTGGAATGTATTATCTGTAAATTAGCAATTAATTTTTGGTTGTAATAAAGTTATATACAAATTTTAAAAATACAGAGTTAAAAAGCAATAGAATGTAATGCTAATGTTGCTAATGGCATTTAGTCAAGTATTTTTTAATTGCCTCAATTTAACTTTAAATTATTAATACAAGAAATATTAGGGAAGTTTTCTCAACCTAAAACGTTAAACTTTAATTTGGGAAGTCAGAAATTACGCAGTAATTAAAATCAAACATAAATTTTAACTTTGACCAAATGCTCCACAATCCTATTTAATCTTTTCACACTTGCTCTGGGAGAAGCACAACACACAAACACAAATGTCAAATATGACGAAATTCAATACCCCAGAACAGCGATAGATGGCATTCCTTGACATCACATTGAACAATGAAGGTCTCAATGCAATTGCCGCCTTTGTCCTTAATTGTAAATATTTTGCCACACACCTGATCCATAACATATATAGTATATTTGTCCACACCGAAGAAAAAATGTAGCAATAAGATTTAAGTAAAGAATATTTAAGAATATTTTACAACATGTTATGAAATTTATTCTAAATTAATTTGTTACGGCAAACAAATATTATTTTTTTATGGACAAATGGAAGAAAAGCTACCTTAAATAAATGTTGTTCCTTCGGGAGTTTTTCTAAGTGAAAATATGTATGCGAACAAGATTGTGTGAAACTTGGAGGACTTTGTTCGCCATTGATTTTGGCCCTAGGTGTTAAGATTACACAAATTGCAATTTATTTGTTTGGCCAACCAAAGCCAATGCAGGGAATCGCTTATATATCTGCCCACATCCCGCCGCCTCCGACTCAATCTCCGTCCCTCTCCTGCACTGATTAATATGTCTTGTGTTTTGTGTGCTTGTGTGATTGTGTATTTGCCTTTGTGTTTATGTTTGCATTTAACTGGCAAACTGGATTGGAATCGCTGCGAAGGGCCGACGCCGACCGCCCGCCCACTTCTCACCTGGGGGGCGCTCACCTTTCGGAACAAGACCGGATTGCGATATGCATGACCTAGACAAATATTGTGCGTTTGCAAGCACTTTGTCATTGGAGCTGCTGTCCTGCAGCAGCTAACCCTACCGTGCACGGCCAACCCAATGGACACATTTGTTATTTTGAAATATTTTGTTGATTTTGCCGGAGAAGAGTTGCCAGCAGGAAGGTTTCACATTTGAGGTTTTCATTTGGCTAAAAGCGGACACGCAAGCCAACCCATTTCTCATTTCTCACTTCTTTCTTCTTTGCCGCAGTGAGTGACACACTAATTGTTCGGCTTGTTGTGCCCCGAGATGCATTCACCAATTGCAATTGGTTTAACCTGGCGTATGAGTGATTTAATATTGAATTATGGCTTTTGATTTATTTCGCATTCACAATCTGTAATGGATTTATGTCGCCCTATTCGTTCTCTCCGATTCTTGTGTCTTCTGTTTCTCTGATTGCCAAAAACGGACAGAAAAAGAGGGTTAACGAAAATGCTAAAGCAATTGCAGAACATTTGCCGGACGGCACTTTGCCAAGAAAAATAAAGCTCTTGCCCAGTTCTTGGCGCACTCACCGAAATTACGGCTCTGGGGTGTGAACAAAATGCAAATATTACACAGCTCATTAAGCCTGAATTGGAATTGGGCATCCACGATTTTAGCGCCTAAAAAAATCTTGGCATCGTCGATTTCTTAAGCAAAGGCGAACTTGGTTGGGAAGTTATATTAAATTTAGTATACATAATCAGTGAAAATGTGTATAAGAATTTTAATTTATTTGGTAAAATTTGCTTGTCATAAACATATACTTATTTATAATAGAAGGAACCTGCTCTACTTTTCATATATTAAAGTTTTTATACACGAGAAAAAACAATAATCGCAACTTATAAATATGTAACATTATCTAAAAAATGTTTAAAAAAAAATATAAATCATAAAAAAATACATAAATTGAACAAGGTTAAATTGCCTAATAATAAAATTAGCTTTGTAAATAGCCTTGGCATTAAATAAGTACACTTTGAAACATACATCTAGGCAGCAGCTCCTCAAATCCCCATTCAATTGGCTTTCTCTTTCAGTCAGGTTTCCGAGGTCGTCTATTGCGGCCTCTAGTTAATTTATAATGCCCGACTTCAATGTTAATTTACGTTTAATGAATTTTAATTGGGCCCTTCCTAGTCCCAAAGCCACAAACTGCCCGCGCTGCCACCCAACAAAATTGACAAATTACATTCGGTTCGCAGAGTCCCTTCTCTAAAGTGACGGGGAAAAATGGAGTTTGGCCAGGGACCAGGACATTTTCGTCCTCCATGTCCTGGGCCTCTGCCATTTCGGTTCATTTTGTCGCCGCCGCTGTTGTTTGTTGTATTCTATTCTATTTCATTTTATTTTTGTTTTTTTTTTGTCGTTACTACGCTTGAAAGGTCCAAAATCGCGTTTTCAGTGTGTGTATGTCCGTGTTTGCCTAATCAAAAATTTCAAACACGTTTTATATTGGCAACGCAAAAGTCATTTATTCAATTTGCAAACCAGTTTTACGTTGCGTAATCTAATCAAAAAGGTTGCGACTCAACTCGACTCAACTAGCTGTGCCAGTTCAATGCCAGGACAATCCGGGTATACAAATGTATATGGCTCTATATGAAAGCCGCCATTCGGTAGGCCCTTGGCCGCTTGCCAAAACAACAGCAGCAAAAGGAAGGAAGGGACTTTAGTCGGCCCCCCTGAACTGTAACCAAAATAAACAAAGTACCAAAAAAGTTCAAATGTTGAAAACTAAAAATAGTAAATGGCTGACGTCACGGAAAACATTAGGGAAACGTAGATTTACAGCGAGAATGACCATATATAGTATATGGAAGGCGGCGCACTGAAAAGTGATGCAAACATGTTATAAAAGGCATTACTCAATGAGATTTTGTCACGGCAACAGTTCACTGAACTCGGATTAAGCGAAAGTATTTAAGGGATAGGTATAAAATTAACTAGATAAAACAATCTGAAGAGCCGAGCTCAATAATCAGGGACTGCAAATAATGATTGTTCATGTGTTTTCACTTCATCTTGATTATTTGGAAAAATGCATTTCACATAAATAGACCCTGAACTGTGATAAGAGATTCCAAGCGTTGTAATTTCTCAAGAAATGCAATATGCATTTATGCCTTATGTGCAACTGATAAGGCTGATCGGTTCATTAACAGAATGGTATAAAAGCAGAACAATTCGCATGCAAAGTCACAGTGTCTTCCAGTCTCTCTCACACTTAAGAACTAAAGATGTCGCCTAAATTCGCACTTGCAATTCTGCTCTTCAGCTGCGTTCTCCTGGGAATTGCAAATTCCCAGCAATACCGGTACCCGCAACAAGTCTATAACAGGCCATATGTAAGTATTATAAAATGTCATTAAGATAATAATATATATAATTTATTCAATCTTCCTTATTCTTTACTAGGGAGTCCGAAATTTGGGTGGTTCAGGCCCATTACCGCCAAACTTCCCCCCTCCGGAGAACGCTCCACCACCGGCTGGCCCTCCTCCAGATGCAACGGATTGCATGCCCAATCAACTGGCCGCCAAAACTCCTGACAACAAGACTCCAAGACCCAGGCCCCAGGGCTAGGAACTAATTGCTTTAAAAGTAACCACTTCCGTTTGACAATTGTAACTTATTTGCAATGTTTTGAACATACATATTTTCGATGTACAAAAATTATATTAAATTCTCAAGGCACAGCATAAGTTTTGTTGACTTTAATTTTATGAAATGGTTCGAAACAAGAAAATAGCAGTACAGTACAGTACTGCACTAGTTGTAAAAACATTTCATCCCATATAAATACAAGTTAAAATAAACGATACTTCTGTCAATTGAAAGTTCAAATAAAAATTAGGGAAACGAAATAGTCGACTTTTTGAAATGCGAAGTTCAAGCGCACAAATGTATATCATAAGTAGAGAGTAACTGGTAATATAGATTTAAAATATGTTTAACCCTGTTTAAGGTACAACCGATGAGCAATAACTTAAATATAAGAATAAGTGTTACAGTTATCTTTAGTAACACACAACGCTTAATACTTATATTTTTTACCAAAAAAATTGTTCATTGTTCATACGCCCCGTTAACACTATCACTCTTAGCTGCTTCATGCAAGTTTATTGTATGATGTCCAATTATTCCGCAAAATCTACTTTAAACTCGTTTTGCAATGGCTTGAAGAAGCATGGTTCCCCCGACAGCGATAAATCGCAAAGCTCTGTCTCCCGGATTCGTGTGAATGCACTCGGCAACTGTCTGAAATTAACCCGTCGCCAGCCCCGCGCACTGACACCTCCCAGAAATGGTGGGTTCCCGCTGTTTCCGATCCCCGATTCCCCTGGACAGACGGACGGTGCCCGATTAGTGCTGCGAACATGAAAAACAGATATGCTAACGTGGCAAACAGCCGCAACAATCGGAGGTAGACCTGCCACGCCCCCTGGCGGTGGGCGAACGGAGGGCAGAGCCAATAAAGTGTTTAACATTTTCGCCCGTACATTTTAATGGGGGAAATGAAACAATTTCGGTGCCAACGACATGCAGACGGTGTGCGATGGGTGATGGGCGGTAGGCGGTAGATGGGGTGCTGGGAAGGTGGGCGTGGCGCGGCATCCACGCCTATATGCAGATTAAGCGCGCATTTAACAATTTTACGCTGCATACATTTAGGCGGCGGAATCCTCAGCCGGAGTTTCAGTTTCCATTCGCTCGCCACTGCTGTTGCATCAATAAATTAAATGCAGATTTCCATTTTCGCACATGCAAGGGAACCAACACCAGCCCAGCGAATCCAGCGGTTCAATATCGCCACGAACTCGGCAGTTAGGAGTGGCAGGGAAATTGTTGCATGCAGTTAATTATTTTGCACAGGTTTTTGTGCAGTGCAACTTCCACTTGCCCCCAACGACTAATTGAAATAAAACATGCCCGCTTTCCGGTTTAATTAAATAAGGCCCAAAAATGACACGAAGTTGTTGTTCGACGACGACTTCGGCTGGCATTAATAAATTTCATTTTAATTGCTGCGGAAATTGCATTATGCAAGCGAGTGTAAGGCAAAATGTCATTTTCCGATTGCTGTCGTTCGCCTAGGTTTTAATCAACTTGATGTCTCGTTTTCCACAAATCAAATGGCAAATCCCACGCTCAAAGAGAAAACTTGATCGGAAGGCGTCGAGGAAATTCTTCGTTACCATTTTGCGGCAGGCGTGAAATTTTGGGCAACATGAAACAACAGCGAACCCGACAAACACTTAGCAAAATCAATATTAAGTTGTCATATTTGGATGTTTACAATTTTGTTATAAACTTAATGGAACAAAAAATTTATATTCAAATTGAATTTATTAGAACATCGCTGGAATCTATTGAGTTTATTGTTTTGCTACCCCGTAAAAACAAAATAATTTTCTTGAGTTTTCTGAAAAGCATTAGCATTTCAAAGTTTATATTGAATATTTATATTTTTAGACATTAAACATTTTTTTGTTTCAAAAAATATTATAGTTGTTAAAAATGCAATTAATATTCTATTAAACCTATTGTTAACCAAATCTGTCTTTTTTATTGCCGGCCAGTACATTGGGACCCCCGCAGAGATTGCAGCCACCGGATGGAAGGGGTGGACCAAAACCGAGTGGTCCACCTATCGGAGGAAGTTCGACACCAGGAGGAGGTCCAAGTACTGGTGGAACTCCAGCGTCAGGAGGAGGTCCTACAACCGGTGGGAATCCGTCTTGGGAGCCCTGTGCATTTCCCAAAGTCCGAACTCCGTAAGGCTAGCAAAACGAATATAATAAGATTAAAATATTCATATTGAGGAACATATTCTTACGCTTCTATTTTGAACCGGCCGTTGTTGAGGGTAATGATATTGTCGATTATTGTACGGGTATTGCTGATACTGGTAGTGCTGGCCGTTGGCAATTGCGAGAAGAACGCAACCAAGGAATATAATCGTAATTTTAAAATTAGACGTCATCTTTAGTTCAATGGAGAGACTGAAAGACACTGCCATTTCAGCAGACCCTCGGCCCATATTTATATGTTTATAATATGAGATTTGCAAGTCTTATCATCTTTACTCAAGAAAAAACGAAAAAAGGCCAATGGCATTCATGAACATTACAGAATTCTTTGAATTTAATCAGTGCTTAATTATTTGTAATGCACACTTCCAGTAAATCAAGATGATAACCCAGCTTGGAAAATTGTAATTAAAGAGTATTGTTTATTTTTATTTCTCAGAAGTGCGACCTATAAACAGTTTTCATCTCTCAAGCTTTTTTTGTATTTTGTTTATCTGAATGCATTACCTATCAGGCCCAAGTAAAGCAATGTACAAAATAAATCAAATAAAAGTATTAATATGGAATCTGTTAATTTTCGCAGTGCAGTGAAACAGAGATGTGTATCGGATGAACTGGAATCTGGATAAGGTCCATTCAAGCACACACACAGACATTTGGCGAACTCTTGGGCTAACCAAATCCAATTGGCCAACATTCGTATGCGATTTCAGCAACCAAATCTGGAAATGGAAGGGTGAGAATCGAGACCGGCACTATACGTGTGATAAATAAGGCTTTCAGTTGGGAGATGGAGGTCGATGGGCGGTGGATGAGGTTTCTCTTTTGCCTCAACGTTTTCCGTTTACCTGGCAGCCATTTTGACCGGCCAAAAACTTTCAGCTACCAAACTCCAACTGGACAACAATTTTCCTTTCGCCATTCGTTTTTTGCATTTTTTGTGCAGGTTTTTGTGGTCTCCGCTTTCCTTCGGTTCGGTTTCGTCCTCAGCTTTTAGTGAAATTTGCATTTTGCTTGATTTACGGAAAGATTTGAGGCTATTGCAACGCAACTTTGATGTGTGTATCAATTTAGCCAAGTGTTAAGGTTAAGGATTCGGATTCGGATTCGTATTCTGTTTCGAATTGCATTCGTCCGGGCTCCGCTTGTTGTTTGTCCTGGCAAACATTTAGTTATTGCATACTGGGGGTTTTGGAAAGCGGACAATTCTCCATCTATCCAAACAGACTGAGAGTGGAGCAAACGCTGATGGAGTGACCGCACAGATAAGTCAATTGGCATTGCATTTGATTGCAGGCGTTCCGGATGGGGATATTGTGGATGTGGAAGGTTGGTTTGTCTCTCTGAATATCGAACAGATATGTTTCATAGTTTAAGGATGGTTTTAACATGGCTTTTAGTTGATCAAAACTTGAGACAAAAATATTTATGGAATAATCCTGAGGTGACAAAAATCTTTTTAGCTCTTAAAAGTTAAACAAATAACTTTTTAAAGCTCAAGAGATATAATTTTTACTTGATTTGCGATTTAATTTTTGAAATACTTTAGACTTAACCCTTTTTTGTGAAGCTTATTCAACAGCTTTATAATTCAGGCAAAAATGGTTAAAAGTTTTCCTCTTAGTTTGGTGGTTCTACTCCCGGTATGCAAAATGGTTATTGCTGCCTCGATACCACGAATGCATCATTTTATAGATGCCCCCAACTCAAAAGCGCATTAATCCGGCGGAAAAACGTGCCATACTTTGTGGCTGTAATTTGCTTGAGCGCTCTCCTAACGACTTTTCTCACAAAAGTCATAACCTGCCAGGCAGACAAACGCAGACGAACAAACAAACAAACGACTTAAGTGCAAACAATTAAAAGACAAACAGCTCAATGCTGGCTCACACCCAAACACACAGGCAAACAAACACCCACACAGTCGAATTTCAGGGCACACATACGGTTGCGCAAACAAGGAATTCGCAGGAGTTGAATTTTTGGTACGCGGCAGAAGAAAAAGTTTTTTTCAGCCGGCTCAAAAGTCGAGCCATGACATCTGAGTCAGAGTTTTAACTTTCGGGGCTTCTCTTTTTTACACACTTTGTCGGCAGAGATTGTAAATGAGAAGTTTGGCGCAAAAGTTAGGGGGAAATTCGAGCTGGGAGTGTTATATGGATGTAGACAAGTGCAGGATTAATGGTACACACTCATATGATCTGTTTGAGGATCTAATAATAAATAAATTTTTGCGTTAAAAGTGTTTAATTTTCACATAAAAATAGTAACAAATTTAAGAGTCTTGAAAATCTATAAATAACTAAAGAGAAATCAAAAAATATTAACATTATTTATTTTTGATTGAGCTAAATAATTTTGTATAAAAGATATCTGCATAATCTTAAGTATTTCTTTCTTATATATTGGTGACTTTAATTACAGCGTATATCGGTAAGCGAAAGAGATTTTATTCAGATTTATGCAAACAAAGTGCTAAAAAAGAGCTTCTGTCGAAAATATGCTTTGCATTTAAATGGCATTCCCCTTTTGCCATTTGCTCAGACGTCTGTGGAGGACATTCGGGCGTAATTTCCAGAGAATTTCAGCCTTTCGTTGTATTAAAAAACCACCTCATTTCACTGCATATATTAAGTGTGTAAAACGTGTCAGAATCTGGGACTGTCTTCCCCTTTTTTATCGTACCTTTTCTTCTCGGGCATGTCATTCAATCATTTCTAGAGGTGGAGCGTCAACAAATTCCTGGTAATAAAATGCCCGACAATCTGCTCGTGCTGGAATTTGGAATTTTGATTTTTCAGGTAACGTCAACACATTAGAAAGCTGCGAGTGTGAGCTGGGACGCAGCTAATCTTTTGGCGACCGCCAAACCGCACATTAGCTGGGGTGCTGGGGTGCCGGGATGATGGGGTGGTGGGCATGGCCGGGATGTTCAGCAAACATTTCGGCCTGACAGCGGCCAAAAAATCGTGCATTGGCGATGATAACGTACTGGCCTGGACCCAGCTGACGTAGCCACGTCCACCGTCGACCATCGTTCCCTGCATATTCACGCCGCATTAGCGTTTGGTGGCCAAGCGTTCCGGGCCTGCAAACCGGACATAGAGCGGCGCATTCGGGTTTGGTTTCGTTTGGGGTTTGAGCTTTGGGCCGGGTCAGCAGCTTGTGGTTCCCCTTTGGCTCCTCGGTTGATGCGTTTGACACGATCCACTGATTTCCGGCCCGCTTTCCCTTTTGCCATCCTCCACCAACCTGAAGTGGGTGGCTCTCTGTTTGCCAACTTGCGAGGTAAACGTATGCTAATCGGCTTGTTTGGTGAAGGTGGGGCAGGAGGGGCAGGAGGGGCATGGGACATGAGCAGGTGATGTTGCCTGCGAAATGCATCAAATATCTGGGGCATTGCTTCACCGGATGGCAATCATATCGGTACGGAGCAGCAGTAAGCTCAGTCTCAATTCTTTCACAAAGCACAAATAGTTTATAATTATCTTGACCTTACGAACAATGTTTTCAGTATGTCTGAATAAGGGCATTGCAATGGGTTTTTAGAAAACAAATAACCAAACAAATAGAAACTCAAAGAAAATAATCCCTAAATACACAAATATTTTTTTGTTTTAGAAAGAAAGAATTTAATTTGATATTAATAATTATGAGGTAGTCAGTTATTGTTTTACTTATTACAAATTCCTTTTTTATTTAAATTAAAGAGCAAGCGCACATTAAACCGCAAAAGTTCCACGTTCAGGCCAAGCGAAGATATATCCCCGCCAACGGTAAAAATAATATCTTTTATTAGCATAATGAAGTCATAAACATTGCAACAGTTAACCCGCAAAGTCAACAAGTCAACAGCAGCAGATAAAATCAGCAGTCGCCCACATTAACTTCAATTCTCTCCCTCGCATACACGCACCATTGCATTCCTGCACTTTTGAACCCCCGTTTGAACCTCCTTTTGAACCCCACTTTTATACCCCTTTTGAAACCCCTTGCGCCCGATAAGCGATCGTACACAAAAAAAAAGAAGGAAAGGGGAACCCCATTTACATGCAACGCAGGCAGGGCGGAAACGGAAGTGCCGAGGCAGCTCTGAAATAATATCAAAAATGGCTGCCGGAGGCGGCAACAAAAAGTTGCAGCTGGTCACAAATCATCTTAGGAGCTACGTGCTGCAGCCGATGCCAGTGTTGTAAAATGCTAACGAGCCCCGGCAACCTTTGTTGTCCTCCCTCGCCCACTGCCCCGCCCCTTTTAGCCCATCCCCCCATCACCATCATCATCATCATCATCATCATCGTCGTCGTCCTTGTCGTTGTCGCCGATGTCGTCGCTTTGAGTGACTTTGGCATGAATGCGGAAGGTGGCCGGCAACTAATTTAGCTGCCTTTTGCGAAGTCAGCGGCATTTCATTTCCCCGGATTATCCACGGCTGGTGTTCTCGAAAAAATATATTCCTGAAAGAAACAATAAGAAGTATGCTGATATAAAAATGTAAACCTTTTAGTCCCGACTACATTTTATTGAGAAATGATATGAAGAATGAATTTAAAAAAGGGCAAAACTTAATAAAGATAAATTTCCTAAATATTTTTTTATTGTCTGGAATTAACTTAAGCACGCTTTTAAATTACAAGATTTCCTAGCCAAGCAAAGACATAAAATGTACTTTTTTGTTTATGAGCAAGGGCTTCAATAAATCATCATTACAAAAAGTGTACATCATAATTTATGTCACAGGCATTAAATGATTTTAATGAGCCTGGTAAATGCCGCTAATCTTCTTTTTAATATTAGGACTTTAACTTATCGAAGATGGCGAAAACATAAGAAATTGATATCTTAACTTTTCCAATCTATAGGTAATTTTGTACTGATTAGTGAATATCTAAAGAGTAATTGTAAAGTAATGGAAATATAACTAATCAAGCATTTATCAGGCCTGTCCCTTCGTTCATTGAAATATTTCAAAATATATCCAAAAATATATTGTGATTTCTGGCACTGTAAAATGATTAAAGAATGCAATGCGAAAGCGTTTCCTGGAATCCCCTGCCAAGGTAAGCGACTTCGTCTCAGTTTCAGCGAGGAGCAGCTGCTGGCACCTGTGTGCAGCTCAGCCAGCAGTTGCAGGCTGCAACTATAAAATACCAATTTACTCCGCATGCAGTTAGTATACTTTCTTGGCAGCCAGGCCCGCCCGACTCCGATCCCGATTCCGGACCCGGACCCAGACCCAGACCCGGACCCGAGCCCGGACCCTCCTATTCCGGCTGGCATTCCCATTCTCTGGCTCTTTGCCCTGAATCTGGAATGCTCGGATGCTGATGCTGATGCTGAATCTGGGGGAATGGGTTTTTCGCTCTGCTCTCTGGGTTTTTCTTTTAGCCGGAGCCATTTTATGTATTTTTATGGTAGGTTGCAGCCACTGACGCTGCTGCCGCTTGGCCCGGAAAGCGGAAACCGAAAATTGCTACTTATTATGTTACTAACTTTGTGTTGCCAACACCGCTCGACTCCTTCTGTGCCAACTCCTTGTGTGTTTGTGTGTGTTTGTGTGTGTTTGTGTGTGCTTGTGTGTGGAGCCGGGGCCCGTTGTCGGCTGGTGTGATAATGTCAGGTTTTGTTAAAATTAAATTGCATGTCTTGCTGCGTTGAAGTTAAATTATGGCCTCCCAGGGTCGAAGGTGTGGCATTCAACTTTACATCTCCAACTGAGAATAGTTTCACGAAAAGTTTTCCCTTCGAGAGTGACAGGCATACAACTTTAAACGGGTCGCAGACTAAAGCAATGGTCCATTAAAAAAACCCACACACAAAAATTCAAACGGACATCAAACAATTTTTTAAAGCTTCAATTTTTCTCGTTTTTTGGGACATTTTTGGGTTTTTTTTGGCACAGTTTCCCAGCGGGACGGCACAAATATAACATTTTTTGCGTTTCGCCACAAACAGTATGCAACAGATTTTTTCTTAGCCACATGGTGCCAGGATAAAAACAGTCGCCCATTTTGGCGAGCGCGCTTCAGCGCCAAAATGTATGCAATGTTTTCCTTTACTTGCCTGTTTTTTATTTGTAGTTGACTGCGATAACCACACGCTGTGATTTTTACCGGCATTACGAAATATTAACAGCATACAGCAAACATAAGAAAAACGATATTTCCTTTTTAAGACAGCCCAGGACTGAAGGAGAGTAAAACATTTGAGTAATGGCTCTTTGATGCCCCAGAGACTGACTTTGTGGTAATGGACTTGTTGGAAATTCAGATTCGTTGGAAATTTAAAGTTCAAAGTGCTTGTGCTGAAAGGCAGCAGTTTAAATTTATTTTGAAATATTGTATGGAAAAACGAGAAGACGATGTGAATGTTATATTTTTGAGTAATAAACTTTAATCCTATTATCAAGAGATTAAAATAGAACAAAGGTATTCCCTAAAGAGTTATAAAATTTTGCCTACTTGTATGACCATTAAAAATAGATGTCTTATATTTGTAAGCTAACCTAAAATAGAAATGATACATTTGAGCCGTAGAGATGATTAGGAGATGTTGTAATAAATAAATTATAATGTAATCTTATATATATTAAGGACTTATTTCTCTTACTTTGTTTATATATTTGCTTAATAATTAAAATGTAGCCCAAACAAAACCCTTAAACGATCCATCATCGAATGATTGTCCACCACAATCCTTGACCTTGGCATTAGAAAAAAATTGTAGTTTCTCTTAGGAACCCAACTAAAAATGTTTTCTCACATCAACCCTTTGGTAGTCTTGGCCAACATGAAAAACAACACGTTTCCTGGCAATAAATCCTGGTCGACGAGTGCTTTGCACGTATGCGAAAGGAAGGAAAATACGAAAGACAAGACCCTGAAACACACGCAATCCAAGACAGACAGGAGACATGTCACATTCTTAGGCAGTGTTTTTGTTTCGAGTGTATTTAAGGTATGGCAGAAACGAATAGGTAAATATGCAACTACAAGGTAAAACAGAAAATAGCCGCAATGAGCCATAACGTTTTCCATTTTCAATTGGAAATTCCAACACGCTGCCACCCAGTTCGCTGTGTAATTTATTGGCTTCCCAGCAGAGTCCCAGTCTCACATGTATTCCGATTTCCCAGAATCCGATGCAGGGGGATCGGGCCAAAGTGTCCCTACACTTGCTGCTCCGGGGAAGGCAAACATTAACGAATGTTCAACTACCTCCGTATCAATATCAATATCAGCCCGCTGCCCCGCCTCCTTTTGGCCGGGCGTGTATCTCTAAATTGAGTACGTGTTGTTCTAGCTGTTGAACGTGTTTGGTACTTGTACTTGGCCCAAACCAACACGTGTGTGTGCGGAGGCCGCCGGGAAACTTCCAACTGGCAACATATTTCTTTCAGTTATATGGATTTCCAAACGTGTCTGATTGCCCTCAAATGGCATTTTATTACATTTATTAAAAAGAACTTAAGGGCTTGGAGGCGAATACGGAAATCCGCAAATTAGATACTTAAATGGCATTGTTTTAAAAAGCCTTCAAACGCTCGGGGCGCCCAAAATAAATTGGCGTCGTTTAATAAAAACAATCGCCTCAAAATGATTCATGTTTGCTCAGATAGATGGTAGGACGGCTTTTCTACTTGGTTTTATTAATTATCTACACTTAGTGTGTATGTACCTGCTTAGACTTTGTTTAATGTTTGAATTAATGTTGGAATGGTTAGGTTTATATTTTAAGCTGCAGAAATCATGTTTAATAAGTTAAGTTAAATATGTCTTAAATTTAAAGTCAAATAAAATATTGTAAAAAAAGAACTAAAATATTTTCATAATTAAAATATGTAAAATCCTCAAATCAAAGAGAAAATATTTAAGTTGTTTTTTTTCAAGTTAGGGTATATACACATTCAATCCGTATTAAAGACATTATTTTAGTCAAAAGGACTACATTTATTAACGCATGTAAGCAATTGTAAATTTTGAATACCCTTTTAGTCGGACAACTATTAATAAAGCCCACTGCATTCTAATTGAACACTTGTCAATTTGGACACCCCTATCTGAAATTGAAAAGACTCCAAAATTTAGACACCCCTCTAGGATGTGGCAGAGCCACTTAGGGTGTTCGCCGAAGGATAATGCGATCGCATTAGCATGCACCGCTCCCGATCGATGAACAAACTGCGCCGCTTCAGCATGATTTCGCGCTCGAGGCGAGCCCGGGAATTGACCATGTCCGTCTTGACCCGCTCCGCCTCCTCGAGTTCGTGGAGCAGGGCCGAAACGCTGCTCTGGATGGTGTGCACACCGTCGATGAGTTCCTGCTGGGCCAGATCGCGGCAGTTCTCCACATTGGGGCGATAGCTGCGGTTGTCCATGCGCGTTTGGGCCACCTTCATGGAGGCATCGAAGGAGGCAATGCGCCGCTTCATCTGCTCAATGCGATTCTCCACATCGGCCAGGCCCTGCAGGATTTGCTTGAGGTCGTTCTCGAATCGCTGCACCGCCTCCTGGGTGCAATTAATCCTGGAGGTCAGTGCTTTCTCCACCACATCAGCTTGGCTGCGAATATCCCGGGCCGCATTCATCATGGTCGAGTTGAGGGTATTCCGCAAGGCCACCGATTTGAGGCGACACTTCTCGCATTCGTCCAGCGTTTCCTTGCTGAAGTGCTCCCAGTACTTCTCGGATGCCTGTTCAGGTGGTTGTCGCACTGCTCCTGGTCGAAACATGATTATCCTGGAGCTGTTGTTCAAGCCCGTATTCAGGGTATCGATCTCGTAGGCCTCCTTCTTGTCACTCCAGTCGTACTCCAATCGCTGACGAGCCGTTCGGTTCTCCACCTGCTGGGTATCGAAGTCATCGAGCGTCTTCATCAGCAGCCTGCGAATCTCGGCAATCAGGGCCAGCTCATTGACCAGCTCCTCCTCCACCTGGTCGCGAACCAATTCGGTATCGGGCCTTGTGGCCCTCTTCTCGATGCACTCCTTTGCAATGGACTCGGGGACACCCAGCACCACCATGGATTTGCGCAACTTGATGCGCTCCACCTCCATGGTGGAGATCTCATCGGCCATCGCCTTGATCGCATTCTCCAGAGTGTTTTTCCATTTGCCAATCAGTTGCGAACGGATCCTCAGCTTGTCGGTGGTCTCATTTTGCGACTTGGCCACCAGGGCAGAGAGTCTCAGGAACTCAGTGGTCGAACTGAAGCGGTTTCTGTGGAATGAGTTTTCGAGGCTTAGCGGGTTTCTGAAGATCGTTTAGCTATATATCCTTACTTATCCGCCTTGTCCAGACTTTCGTTTACGACCTTCACTGTCTCGTGATTCCTGGAGCGCCATTCGTTGGGACTATATCGGGTTATGGAGTAGCGATCAACGACGGGCCTTGTGCCCGTAATGCCCGCCATGGGACTCCAGTCCACCTTGCCGGATGCCCAGGGACCGATGGGACCCATCGGCATCAGCTGGTCCTTGTGCGGCAGCTCGTCGCCCTGTTGAGGCAAATAGCACGGCGGATTTCGCAGATCATCCGCTTCGGGGTCCATTGTGCGCTGTAACAGATAGATTTGTTCACAATTAAAGACTTCACTGTAGCTAAGGATTTTAAATAGTTCCTGTATTGGAGTTATCCCTTGTGAATCATTATTATTGGATTAGTACGACCGTAAGATAAAAATCAAATCAAAACTACATCATAAATATAAAATAAAATATATATTTTTTGCTTTGGATCTTATTAATGCAGTTGTAAGTTACCAAAAATATATATATCCACTTTTAAATATTTTATTTGCCAATATTCGGATTAAATTTTAAATTTTTAAAATTTAAATTCAAACTTAAATATAATGCATTTTTTTACATTAATTCAAATACTTTAATATTAAATAGTGATTTTTTTGTGCTATGTATTGTACGAATATTATGAATTAAAATATTATTTCAATTTCAAATATATAATAATATAATGGATTCAATATGTTGGTATTTAGTATTACTATTTCATTTTTGAATAAGTGAACTCACCGCAAACTGCATCTCCTCCATTCTGAGGGGCTTCTGCGACTGATTGTACTGTTCTGCCCGAATGTCGGCCATCTGCATCTGCTGCTGGTCAACTCCCGCCTGAAGGTCGCCCTGCAGCTTCTGATGTTCTTGGGCGGGACCAGTTATGTTTTGCAGCAGGTGCTGCTGAGCGGCCTCATCGGGGTGCGGGGTCAAGGCGACGAGGGCGGGCTGCGGTGGTTTCTTCAGGCGGTGGGAGGGCGGTTCCTCGGGCAGGGGACAGATCAACGGGGCCGGACACGCCGATCCCGGATTCAACTCAATTACCCTGCCCTTGCACTCGGCAATCACCTCCGGCGACTTGCTCTCCAGGCAATTCATCTTCTAACAAATCTTGCAAAATTAACAAAAATACAATTGAGTTTTAGGGAACTAGTAGTGTGTTTCGTTTGGTGTTTGGGGCAGACTAAAACTGAAAATTTCAAGCGATTGTTTGAAGGTCGCAAACAAATCAATGGGTTGCTGGGTTTCCTTACTGTTGATAGCTCGCTTAATGGCAACGGTTACTATTGTATTGATAGGATACATTTTTATAATGGTAAACACAATATATGTTCTTTAATTTTCTGGTTCTTATTTGTTTGCTTAGTTGTGTTCTTTTATAAAACTGTTTATTTTTTGGTTTTAATTTTTAAAGATTTTATTTTAAAGTTCTCAGTGGAATAATGAAGGTTCTCAAATAAGAATAATTAAGGTGGTCGTCCACTCTAAATACTTTCTCATCAAGAGCAAAATTTGACGTGTTTAACTTTAATTTAAAACCAAGAAACTTTTAACAAAAAATATAATAATATAAGCATGGATGGAACTGCTCTAAGCACTATGAATTTCGAAAAAAAACCTATCCTTTAGCCATGTTCTGGAAGAACATGATGGAGAACTCGAGGACATTGCTGGGCTTGTAACGCAGTAGATTAAGGACATAGTCCTGCATAAAATCGGCCAGTTGCGAATTGCTATTCAGATATTTGGTGGCATTCTCGTAGTTGAGGGCCTTGAGTTCTCGAAACTTTCGTGACAGCTGCTCATTTTGGCGCCACATCAGTTCCAGTTTGGGCAGAATGGTTTCCTTTCGCTTCGGCGGCATACAGGCGGCGTGCAGGAGATAGTTATAGCCTCGCCAATAATGAAGTACTATCCGACCCGCAGGGGTCATGAAGGTCTCGGCCACATCCTGCAGCTCATCGTTGAAGCACTGCTGGGTGAGAATGTGCACGACATTCTTGTAGGTGCGGTAGAAAATGCGCACTACCTTGCGCTCCTTGGAGACCACTAGATTGCACCGCAACACCCGGCCATACAAATTCATTGTGTAGTACTCAAAGTTGCCCACGAAATTATTGCAGACCAAGTGGCGCATCAGCAGCATGATGCCTCCGTCCAGGACAAAGATATGATCACGATCCTTGATGTCGATACGAGCCTTAAACCGCTGCACCTCCTCGTTGATCTTCGTCTCGCGAATTGCGGTGAGCATCAAATCAGCATGGTTCCTCAACTCCAGCGTCTTCTCCACACGCGTGCTATCGATTCGATCGAACTCTGACCTCTTCTCGCAGATCAGCAGGAAGTTGTCATCGTACTTGCCCTTCAGCTGGTGGCCACACTCGACCAGGCCCTTGCCCTTCTTCATTTTGCTGCTGCTGAAGATCACGTAGCCATCGTAGGCCTCCTCCACATTCAGACAGAAGCGCCCGATTTGCTCCAGTTCGCGCTCGAAGAAGATCTTTAGGTTCTCGTTCAACTTGCAGTTCGTGTTGCGCAGCTTCGAGATGAACAGCTGCTCCTTGAAGATGACCGCCTGTTTGGTGGGCAGGAACTGCTTGGGATTGATGCCCCAGTCGCACACCTTGTACTGATCGTCCGACGGCTCAATGGGCTGCAACAGGGCCGAGATGATGCTCGACACACTGATCTCGTCCTGGGCATCCAGCTTGTCCAGCTCCTCGCAGGCATCGTTGGCGGCGCGTTTCTTATCCGGATCGCGAAATTGGTCCAGGTCACAGGTCACAAAGAGCGGAGGATCCAGCTTCAGTTCCTTTTTTCCATCGCAATCTATAATAAATTGTTATGTGATTATAGGTGTCCACTTTAACTGTATTGCTTACCCATTCTTCAAAATCGTACAGGCAAATTTGATATGTTCCACTCTTTAAAATTTCGGTTTCCCTAGTTCAAGCATTCAGGAGTGTTTCAGCAAACAGAGTTTTCAATCTCAGATATTATGATTAACTTTAAATCATTAAATATCAGAAGCTTTTATATTGTTCGCCTCATTCATTGAAGCTCAGAGAGAGAGAGAGAGACAACTACATGGATGCTGCTTGGGATTTTTTTTGGTTATAAAAATACGGTCACACTGCCTTTTTAACGTTAAGTTCAAACGTTAAATTCAAACTTTATGGTTTGTTTACTATATTGTGCTTATTCCGCTAATTTAAATTTTCAAAGGTTTTCAGTTGTTACCTTTTAATGGGAAAAAATATTTCGTATACTTTTAAGTAGCGCATTTTCATTTAATTTTGTCGTCAACTCCAATAAATGAGCAAAATTAGGGATCTAAGCACAATCTTACTTAAAAAAAAACTAAAAAACATGTAATATTTTTAAAAACAAAGCTTAATGTTTGCTTGGACTTTACGTTTGTTGGTATATTATATCCAAGAGCTTTAAAATACCTCTTACACATATTGCAAGAACTCATAGCCAAGACAATTGCTTTTTTTGAGTACCTCTGTTGTTGTGCTGGCCAAGAACTTGACTTGGCAATTAGTCGGAGCACCTAAGTAACGCTTCCCCGGGAACTTCTTCAAGTGAGCAGCTCCAGCTCCTCTAAAGTGGCCCCAGGGCACCACGATGCCATCAAAATTGGCGCTGCAACAAGCGAAGCAAACAAGAAGAAAGCCTGACATGGCTCGTCAACTAATTGCAAGGCCAACAGCACTTCAGACGACTTAAAGAGCGACAAACAGCATGTAACACAGCCGGAGTTTCGGGTTTGACAAGTGTAAATAGGACCAAAAGGACGACTTTGTGTGTGTGTATGTGTGTGTGTGTGTGTGTATGTATGTTGTGTGCTGAAACTTCAATGGAAGCGACTGTGGACTGTGAACGAATGGACGGCAAATAAAGGCGTCGCAGGACGAAGGACATGCTCATTGTTGTTGCCTTATTAAAAGGCAAGGAGCGTGTGCGAATATAAACAGTTAAAGGTGGAACCACACACACACACACCCATAAGAAAGGCACAAAGGGTAAACAATAAATAAAATGACCGGCCTTCGAAAGGCCGAGCAATATTAAATTTGCTATTAAGCTTGTAATTATTTGCTGAGCCGGAAATGTAGGCATCTGCCCGCTGCCTGCTCCTTCGTTTTAACAACGCGAATTACGCCCGATGAAAATGAAAATATAAATAAATTATGCAAAAGACAAAGACAATGCGTTTTATTTTCTTTCCCTGCCTTCCATTCAGGCTGGAGATCTTTCGTTGTCCGCTTATTTCACAGTCAAGTAAACTTTGAAAGAGAGGATACTCGACAGGACAATGGAGGCCCAAAGCTTTGGGCCGAGGACCGAGTCTTGAGTTCTTCCCCTGCACTGAAAACTTAAAGCTGATTTAATCAACATATATGTTGATCTTAAACTTGGGTCGAGAATTTAGGACAAAATATAGTAGAAGATTGGCTTATTGTTATAATTTAATAATGGCATAATCCCAACGTTACTCACATATCAAAGTGATTATGTTAAAAGTACCCGTTTGATCAGAACTAACGACCTTGATTATGTTTAAAGTACCCGTTTGATCAGAACTAACGAAAGACCTTAATTTATTTAAACCCATTAGAGATTTAAAAATCGAATTCTCTCAGTGCTTTTATTTACGCTGGAATTCTCATTAATTTGTTATGCATTTCTCTCTACGCGTAAATTAACTACAATTGTTTCTGGGCGACGTCCACTTACATTTAATCTTCATCTTCATCTTCATCTCTACACACTTTTCATTCGTTTGGGCCATTCATTGCGCATTCATTTCAGGCCTCGTTCATTTCCTTTGCATTTGTTTTGCATTTCTCGTCATTGTTCGCCCTTTAACCTGCCCCCCAACCGCCCACTGTCCCGCCCCTTGAGTGCTAAAATAAATCAAATGTACGAGTGTGTGTGTGAGTGTGTGTGTGTAGAGCCAAAAAGGAACTGACAAAAAAAAGTAGAAACGAAAACGAAACTAAAAAAGCGAAAACAAATCTTAAATGAAAATTGTAACCGCTGCGGCTGTGCAAAAAGCCATTGGGAAAAGCGCTGGGAATGGGAAAAGCGGAGGGAAAATGGTGGGCGCGAAGGGGAAAACTGTTGGTAATCTCCAGGCCCACATGTATCGGGCTTGTGGGCTTTGGATTGCGGATTGTGGATTGTGGATTGGGTGGTGGTGGGGGCTTAAGGGTCAGTAATAAATGTCATGATATGAAATTTATTTACGCGCTGCGAAAAACCAAAGCAAAGGAATGCAATAACAACAGAGCCAAGGACCAACGACCGACGACCAAGTACCAAGTACAAGAATCGGAATCGGAAGGACAATGCCGCAAACAATCACACTCACACACGACACAGTGCTTGGCCAAATCGCAAGGACAATTAAAATGGAATGCCAAAGAAGAATGCCGAAGGGCCAAAACGGATGATAGAAAACCTTGATTCAAGCAGGTTATTGAGAAGAAGGAATAATTGCTTAGTGCTTCTCAATTTTTAAAAATCCTATTTTTCACGTGCCAAGAATATTATGATTACCCGATATGATTTACTGGTGGTTACACACGATAATTCGACATTACGTTACAAGCCTAACACAATTTTAAAGCGTTATACTTTTAAAAATTGAAATTTGAAACTATAAACTATAAAAAACAAAATTATGTCAACACTGTATAATAATAACGATTAAAAATTAGTAAAGTTTTATTAAAAATATGCATAAATATTTTTGATTAATTTGAAAAACTACATAACTAGTTTGGTTCTATTGGAAAAAAGTATTTCCGAGCAAAAAGCATTCTTAAAAGTCACAGATACATAGTTTCCAAAATATTATCTCTTACACTTACACAGCAAAAACTACCTTTGACAGCCTTATTTTATAGTAATAGTATTAAATAAATAAGTCCCTCGTTTAACTAAAAGCCTCGTCCAGCTCACTCACTCGAAGACTAACTCTACAACAAAAATGTTAAAGGGACTGACAACGTCCTTCACAAACACACCTGCAATTATACAGGAGATACGCAACAAGAGCCGAACAAAGAAAAGCTCAGCTTCTGTGCTGATAGCAAAGTAAATAATACAAATTCTCGCAATTTTTCTGTAATTAACACATCCCCCAGTTAAGCAAGTCACACGTACCATGTATCATGCAAACTCTCCCTCGTTCGGACTGAATGTCGAGCTGAATGTGGGCAGGATGGGGTAAGAAGGACTTCAGGACCGCTGCGGGCATGAAACCCCAGCCAGGTGAGATGCGTTGGGTGGAATGCGATTAGGAGGTGCTCGGAGGTGCTCACACATAGAACACAAAAGTGTTGTCAGCTCGCATCGCATTTTTATGAGCTGCTCATGTGAAAGGACATGCAAGCCATCTTCTTGTTATGTCAGTGTTTCGCTCATGTCAAGTTTAAGTGCCAACTCTCGACATATCTACAAACCAAATTGGCGTGCTCCGCTTATTGCGACTTTGGGCCGGGAAAATGTTTACCTTTTGTCAGTTGCAAATTAACATTAATTAGGAAATGAGCCATATAAAATCGTTTAAAAGGTTAACTTTTTTAGAATGTTAAATAACGAATTATGACAAATGGTGATATTTATTTTAATAAAATAAGAAAATATAATTATTATATTTATTAATGAAATAGAAAAAAGTCTTATGAAAATGTATAATAAAAAAAAGTATACAAATTCTTGAGTTCTATTTTGGTGTCATATAAAAATTAATTAAAATTTTGAGCAAGCTTGTGCTTCATCATTATTAAAAGCTAATATAAACAAGAAAGAAAGCAAACATCGGCAAGCCGAAGTTCATATACCCTTGCAGCTATTGCAAGAATTAAACATTTTTGAAAACATTGTAAATTATAATTTACTTGCGTATATTTTTAAAAACATTGAAGCTATGATGATTTGCAGCTCAATTATTTGATAGTTATTTTATATATTTTTAATATTTCCATGGGAGCTATATGATATAGACGTCCGATTTTGATAAAATTTAAACCATAATTCTGAAATATTTAACCATTGCTATATGTCGAAGAACTAAACAAAAAATTAAAAAACAGAAAAGTTATAATTTTTTTTCATTTATTTTTCCGATTGTTCCTATGGGAGCTATATGCTATAGTCGTCCGATTTTAATGAAATTTTTACCATAATTCTGAAATATTTTACCATTGCTTTATGTCGAAGAACAAAACAAAAAATTAAAAAACAGCAAAGTTATAATTTTTTTTCAATTATTTTTCCGATTGTTCCTATGGGAGCTATATGCTATAGTCGTCCGATTTTGATGAAATTTAAACCATAATTCTGAAATATTTAACCATTGCTATATGTCGAAGAACTAAACAAAAAATTAAAAAACAGCAAAGTTATCATTTTTTTTCATTTATTTTTCCGATTGTTCCTATGGGAGCTATATGCTATAGTCGTCCGATCCGGCTCGTTCCGACTTATATACTACCTGCAATAGAAAGACAACTTTTGGGAAAGTTTCATGCAGATAGCTTTAAAACTGAGAGACTAGTTTGCATATAAACGGACGGACAGACGGACAGACGGACAGACGGACAGACGGACATGGCTAGATCGACTCGCCTAGTGATGCTGATCAAGAATATATATACTTTATAGGGTCGGAGATGTCTCCTTCACTGCGTTGCAAACTTCTGACTGAAATTATAATACCCTCTGCAAGGGTATAAAAAATTTAAAACCAAACCCTATATTTTGTGCTTCATCTTTATTAAAAGCAAAAAAATTATTTAGGCGACTGGAAAGTGTGTAAGCAATTCTTGATAGGTATAATATATACGGATAAGCCAAAAGCTATTGAAATAAAAACAAAGGCAGCTCGTACCCAAACTTTTACATCTTTCGCTTCATTTTGAGATGAACACAAAAACTTTATTAAATAAAATGCAAATTATTTTGCAATTTGATTTCATTATACAATCCCGGCGAACATTATCAAGTACAGTCGTTCTTTGTTTTTCCCTTTTGCC